TGCATAATTAACAACTTCTTTGAAAGATAGTAATGATGAATCATTATGGAGAGAAATAATAGATGCATAGGATCCATGGAAATGTGACTTACCTCTTGTATTCCGTTCTTTAGATCCATTTTAGAAGTTATTATTATTCAAAACACTTAGAGATGAAAAGTTAGTTATTCTAATTAAGAATTATGTATCAGATACATTAACATCTTTCTTTATAGAGCCTCCTGTTTTTAATTTGAAAGGAGCATTTTAAGATTCATCTTGTACAACTCCTATAATCTTTGTTTTATCTCCAGGAGCTGATCCAATCACATATTTATTAAACTTAGCTAAAGATATGGAGATGGAAACTAAATTAAAGATTATTTCATTAGGTTAAGGATAAGGTAATATTGCAAAAGAATTGATAAAGACAGGAAGAAGAACAGGAGATTGGGTATGCTTATAAAATTGTCATTTGGCAATAACATGGATGCCAGAATTAGAAAGAATTTAAGAATTATAAGTAGAGGCAGATACTGATGCCAATTATAGATTATGGTTAACAAGTATGCCTACTGATAAATTCCCTGTTCCAGTATTATAAAGTGGTATTAAATTAACAAATGAACCACCTAAAGGATTAAAAGCTAATGTGATGAGAACTTATAATGATCTTTCAGGTTATGATTCATGTACCAAATAAGATGAATATAAGAAACTTTTATTCTCTTTAGCTTTCTTCCATGCAGTTATCTTAGAAAGGAGAAAGTTTGGACCAATTGGTTGGAATATACCTTATGAATGGATGAATTCAGATTTTGAAACTTGTTAATTGTAATTGAAGATGTACTTAGATGAATAGCCAGAAGTTCCATATTAGACATTAAATTATATTATTTCAGAAATTAATTATGGTGGCAGAGTCACAGATGATAAAGATGTTAGATTGATTACTGATTTACTCAAATAGTATTTCTGTCCAGCTGTTTTAAATGATCCTAATTATATATTCTCATCTAGCGGAGTTTATCATCCTCCTTAGATTCTTGATTTACAATCAGTTATCTAATATATTAGTTAATTACCTTTAGAAGATGACCCAGAAGTCTTTGGATTACATGCTAATGCTAATATTACTTTCTAATAAAAAACAGTTGCTGAATTCATGAGTACTTTATTATCAGTACAACCAAGAATGGTAGCAGAAAAGGGAGTTGAAGAAACACCTGATTAAATTGTCTTTAAAATAGCTAAAGAAATTTTAGGAAAAATTCCTCCTATTTTAGTATAAAAAAAAGAAGTCGCTATTGAGTCTTTGGCTATTTTTAGATCATAAGAAGTTGATCGTTTTATTAAATTAGTTCGAGTAATGAAAAACTCATTAGAATTATTACAAAAAGCAATACAAGGATTAGTTGTTATGTCTATTGAATTAGAAAAAATGTTTAATTCATTTTTAGATGCTAAAGTTCCTGAGAATTGGGAAAATGTTGCCTATCCATCTTTAAAACCCTTAGCTTCCTGGGTTACAGATCTCATTCAAAGATTGGTATTTAATATTATTAATTATTTTTAGGATTTCTTTAAATAATGGCTAGAAAATGGAACAATGAAATCTTATTGGTTATCAGCTATGTTCTTCCCTCAAGGTTTCATGACTGCTGCCAAATAAACTTATGCTCGTAAGACAAAAACACCTATAGATACTTTAACTTTTAGAACTTAAGTAAGACCATTCTTCAAAGATAATATTTAAGATATTCCTTAAGATGGTAATTAATTATCTAATTGTTTTAGGTGTTAATATTGATGGTCTCTACTTATAAGGATGCAAATGGGATGTTGGAACTAATTAATTGTAAGAATCTGATCCTTTAGTATTATTCCAAGAAATGCCTGTTGTTTGGTAATTATTTTTAAATCTTATAAAATAGGCTTGAACCTGTGATAGCATCAACTCAAAATTAAAATTCTTAAAAATTATACAAATGTCCACTTTACAAGACTTCTACAAGAAGGGGAACACTTTCAACAACAGGTCATTCTACTAACTTTGTTTTATATATGGAATTAAATACTGGAGTGGAACCAGCAGTTTGGACTAGACGTGGAGTTGCACTATTATGTCAACTTGATGATTGATTTTCATTTATCAATAATTATAATATTTTAACTTGATATCTGCATTACATTTTATTTTCTTACTATGAAACATTTCTCACTAAAATGTTTGATTCTTAATTTATATATTTTTATGTGAAACATAAATTTTATTTTTGTTTGTAAATGTCTAAGCTTAAACTTCAAGTATATTCATTTAATCATCTTAGCTTTGTTCTACATCATCAATATAGACTACTGTTGCCGAAAACCAAAAAATACTTTAAGGTAATCAATAGGATCCAATATCTGCAAAATAATAAGAAAATTTAATCAATTTTGGAAATATTGATTAAAAAAGAAGAAATGACTGTGCAGGTGATCGTTTCATTCCTAGAAAAAAAAAGAAGTTTAGCATTCTTACTGAAACTAAGGCACAAACTCAAGATTTTGCTTCATCTTAAGCAGCACTTGAAATGCTCTATAAATAATAAATCCTAGATTAGGAACCTATTATAGAACCAGAGAATGGTTCACTTAAATTTATTAACTAAAATAACTTTCAATATAAAAATGAACATATACATTATATTGATTCTATTGACCCAAAAAATTATAATAGGTATCAATAATTTAATAATAATTTAGTCCTCTTGTTGATCATAAGTACTTTGCTTTGCCAGAAACAATATCAAGTTATTATGGAAAATATATAAGAAAAATTCCTAAAGTACCATTTAAAGTTTTGGATGCTCCTTAATTATAAGATGATTTTTATTTAAATCTTATAGATTGGAGTAATTAAAACACTTTATCAGTAGCTCTTAATAATTGTGTATATCTATGGTATTATTTAATTTAAAAAATAGGAATGCCCAATCTTCAAAAGTAACAAAATTACTTGATTTATGTAATGATGTAGTAACAAGTGTTGGTTGGTCAATAAGAGGACCATTACTTGGAGTAGGAACTAATAATGGAGAAGTATAAATATGGGATACTTGTAAATTATAAAAAGTTAGAACATTATAAAGTCATACAGCAAGAGTAGGAACTCTTTGTTTTGCAGAAAATATATTGAGTAGTGGTTCAAGAGATAAAACAATACTTTAAAGAGATTTGAGATAAAAAGAAGATTATTTTTTTAAATCTTTAGCACATAAACAAGAAGTTTGTGGTTTGAAATGGTCTCCTGATAGTTAATTATTAGCATCAGGTGGAAATGATAATAAATTGTATATTTGGAGTACAGCTTAACTTGAGAAACCAATATTCAAGTTCAGTGAACATTAAGCAGCTGTTAAAGCAATAGCTTGGAGTCCACATTAACATGGATTATTGGCTAGTGGAGGTGGAACTGCTGATAAAACTATAAGATTTTGGAATGCTTTAGAAGGTAAGATGCTTTCAAAAGAAGATACTGGAAGTTAAGTTTGTAATTTAATGTTTAGTAAAATGGAAAATGAACTAATATCAACACATGGCTATAGTCAACATTAAATTGTACTATGGAAATGCAATGGTATGAAAAGGATTGCCACTTTAATTGGTCATACTAGTCGGTACATATTTATTTTTATAAAGTGTTCTTTATCTAGCCATGTCTCCAGATGGATATACTATTGTGACTGGGGCTGGAGATGAAACTTTAAGATTTTGGAGTATATATCCATAAACTATTGGTAATTAATAATAAAATAATAAATGTCAATTGGCACCACATAATATTAGTATACGTTGATAGAAAACTATTTTATACTCATTTTTGTTATTGTTTATTTATTAATTATCAATATTTTTGTATTTGGATAGAATCTTAAAATCGATATAATTGGTTAAATTAATATTATAGATATATATTTCATTAAAGCCATGGGATTTATAGTATTTACTATGCTGATGGTCTATCATTTGCATTAATTTACAGCATGCTTTTCACCAATTTAAAAAGCTCTACTTCATATTTACTCCAATGTGCTTTAGCAAATGATATCTTTGTTGGTTGATTCTAATTTTAGGGCATTAAATTAGGTGGATAAGCCACGATCATTTAATGAATTACTATGCCAAAACACCATATATCCATTTTTGAATCAGCTTAACTGCCTATTGTTAATTCAGGAGGTATCATTGGTTATCTTTTTTTGATGAATTCATAATGAAATGCATCTAAAATATCACCCTTTCTTTAGATATTCCCAAAATCTCCAAGTTTGACCTCTATTTAATTATTAACATACTGTTCTAATCAAATCATCTAGTCCTCTTGTACAATGTATTGTCTCTATTCTAATATCCATATGAACAAAATCTCAAATAATTAGATATTTTACTTAAGTTATGTAAATAATTGAGTCCTTCTGCTATATCTTAAATATAGGATCTTAATTTTATCATATTTGTTATAGGACGTGCTTACTAATAGTTTAAAAATAACAATCATACATCTAGAATTACTTTCTTAAAATAATTTGCCTCATTTAAGAACTCTAATATTATTTTCTTCTCATCATAATTCTACTCTTTAACCTATCTTATTGATTAACATTTTACTTTAACAATATTTGGATGATCTAAAGTAGGATGTATCTCAAATTGTTTAATCACTTAAGCTCTCCAAGTTGGATCTTATAATGCTTCAATCTTTAGTTCTTTTACAAATACCTAGTTATTTATTAACAAATATTCAACTTTATTAAAATCCCAATCTAAAGCAATTATGTTCTTATTAAATTTAGAAGGCTCAAATTCTTCTAGTTGACTATAACTTTTTTTAGGTGGCATCCAATTTTCATCATCTGAATCAATTATTTCTCCAAAATTTTATGGAAGTTGATGTTATTACTTTAATGAATCATCTGAATCACTCATTACAATTTTTATAATATATTATTAATTAAATAAGTGCGAAAAATTTGAATTCAAAACCCTTCTGGCAATAAATCAATCAGAGTTTTAAGTCTTGTGTGAATTCTTAAATCTTTATCATCCCTCCTTGTTTGAGATCCATTTTTTTTTCCTTTTCTTTCAGATTTCAAAGCTTATTCACCTTCCTTTATTTTCTTTTCTAATAATTGTACTATAAGGGCATCCTTCTTTTTAGCTTATGATTTCAGTAAATAATTCTCATTCATTAAAGTTTTAAGAATTTAGGTTTATACAACTCTTTAAGAATTAACCCTAATTGTCATTTCAAAGTGTAAATTATTTGTGATTTTATAATAATAATTTATTACAAAAAAAAACAATCAAATATCCCATTTCTTTTATATAATAATATATAAAAACTGGTTTCTCTAAGTTTTTAACATAGATTAAACTTAATTTTACTATCATTGATAATTAATAATAGAAATTAATATTATATAATTAAAGCCAAAAAATAAATGAATTTTAGAACTCAAAATTTTTAAATAGTAATCTAACCATCTAATTTTTTGTCGTTGTCTTTTTAATTGTGACTCAAATAAAAGTAAGTAATATTATGAATACAAAATCGTATATAAATTCTATTTATTTTCATCTATAAGCATAGTCAATTTAATTTAATAAACATCATTCTGATTAAGTTCTTTTGCTAATTTGGCATGGAAATGATTGGACGAATGATTTTAAAAATTTCAAGTTCTTATTGATACAAATACATATTTATAAAGTTTCTTAGCCCGCTATAATTAAATTTTTTTTTTATGTTGTAAGAAAATTAAAGGGAGAATGACAAAAAGTAGTATTCAATGTTCTATCCGGAGGATGAAAGATCAAAAAGCCATTTCTTAAATTAATAATACCTTACTAATTTCTTTGAATTTACTAATCATTTTAAAGAGGCTGATTTACAAAATTAAGGAAAATAGGAAGAAAAAAATTAACCTAAATATCCCATAATTATTTAATATGAATAAGAACCTAGATATGTAAACTAAAAATAGTAATACAATTTATTAAATTCTAGATATAGACGAATCATGATTAGAAGAATCAAAAGAGCTTAATAAGCATTAAAATTAGAGGAATTAAGAAAATAATAAGCTACTAAGGTTTTGGATAAATCTAATTAAAAATATATTTATGAATCGAGGCATCAACATGCACTTAAAAGAGAAAGAGGGCCAGATGGAAAATTTTTAAAAAAACAGAATTCTGTTGAATCTCCACCAAAACTTTGAGTTAATTCTTTGTATTTTTGCTTTTTCTTTTGTTAACAATATTTAATTTTAAAGAATGGTTTTTATGATCTTGAAATTTTATTTATAAAATTAATTGAAAATTTACAAAACTATACTCAATAACTAAAAATAATGTTATTCTTCCTTGATTATTATAATTAATGAAAACAATTATAGATTGCTATTTAGAAAATAATTGAATGTGTAATTAGATTACATTATAAATTAATCTTATTTTAGGATATTTATAGATAATTTATAATCTGTTAATATTAAATGATAAATAAATTTAAAGTAATAAATCTAATAAGATGAGTTAACAATTTTCAAATTCATCCATAGTTTTCACTACAGCTGACTTACAAGATGATGATTTCTATGATTTTAATGCAGATCAAATTTATGATAAAATATTGGTCACTAATTTCAACATAAACACGTATTTATTTAAATTAATTTACAGGGCTTCTTTAAGGAAATTAATTTAAGGTTACATAAATTATAGAAGTTTATTAAAGCCAATATATATACCAGTAGACAAGTAAGAATATAATAAAATTTTAAAGTATCCCTTCTTAAAATAGCTTATTAATTTCTGATACAAACTTTCAAAATGAACCAGCCAATTTATAACAAGAATTTATAGAAAAATATACAGCTAAAAAGATTGAAACAATAAGTAAACCTATTTAAATAGACATAGCACAAATAGAAAATTTTAACGAAAAAATGAAAAAAGTAATTGATTATTATAAAGAATTTAATGAATCTGAGAATATAAGCTAATACCTTTAGAATTTAGATCAATCATCTATTATCCAATATAGACTTTATATTAAAGAAATTAATGCAGCTGCTATCAAAGTTCTTAAACAATGGTAAGAATTCATAGAATACACTTAAAGTCTATATAATAAAGTAAAATATCATTAAGCATGATAATGTTTTTTGTTTAAAATTTCTTTTTATTATGAATCTAAAGATATTATACCAAATTTTTAATTTTAGAAATTTGATAATATCTGTTATAATTTATACATCAAATAAATGATCAAAAGTCATAATGATATCTAAATTCCAAATTTTTTAATTTCATCAATCTTTTTTTTGGCCTTTGTAGCAGTGCAATTATTTTAATTCAAATATAAGCTTCTTAATTGTGTTTGACCATTTTATCTCAAATGAGTTAAAATATTGTCAAGACATTTTTCTGTAAGAATGTTTTGCTATAAATGCAATGTATTAATTCTATTAGTATAATATAATAAAAAATACTTTGTTTGAGTGATGTTTAAAATCAACTTATATAATAGATCATCTGTTAATTTGCATTTACTTAACTTTAAGACTTTGACAGTTTGGGTTCCTTTTAAGTACTCTCCCAAGATCTAAATAATTTGATCAGTAAAATCTAGGTTAGATTATAATTTATACCTATTGAGCTTAGATCAATAATTTCACTCTTATCTTAATGAATGATACTAAAAGTATTTGATAATTTATCATTCATTTTTTGATTATTTGTGAATTTTTTCTATGATTTTGAATTGCTATTTGAATTGGTATTATTATTAATTTTAGTTTATTTTTAAATAAGTATTTGTGAAACATCTAAAAGTTCATGGTGTGATAATGTCATACTTCTTTCCTTTAATTTTAATGGTTAGTTTTGTCCGGAAACAAAATTGATTGATTTAGTCATATCTTGAGAAGGTGAAGTTGGTTAGGTTGGTTATTATGATTATGAAAATATACCGGAATATCGTTTACCTTTTGTTACATCTATTTATAATGGTTTATGTAATTCATATTGATAGAAAGATTCTTCTTAAAGTTGTTTATCATCTAATAAAAATTCTGATTAATCAACTTTTTTAATAGGATCTTTTTCTTCTAAAATTGATTCTAATGGTTATACATATTCCTATTTTAAAACTTCAGATTTAGTTTTATTTAATCCCATCATTTTAGTAATATAATTCAAGATTAATTAAATAGGAACTTAAACAACAAGTGAATTATAAGTTTATTCAATTTTGATTTTTATTTATTCTTTAATTTTATCAAAGGATTATATTAATACATCACCTAATTTAACAATTTGATCATCAAATTTTCGACACTTTTATTCTTAAGAGTCATCTAATAAAAGGCTTAATTGATTTTAAGCTTAATTTAGCCAGTTATCTGCTTCAATTTATAATGAAATTAATTCAGAATCAAGTTTAATAGATTAATGATCAATAGAATTTTAATAATTAAGTTCAACGTTGTGTAAAACTTATAATTTAATATCCTCAATAGATTTAATAAGATCATCAAATTATAATTCTATTTGAGATCTTAAACAGTTTTATTATTATTTAAGTCCAAGAACTAATAATTGTTTAAATTATTCTTAACTATTTCTTTCAGTCTGTATTTGTTTATAAACATTAGATATTTATTAAACTGCTGATTCTATTTATTTGAGATATTATTCAATAGGAAGATAATTATGAAATTTATGTGGTCCAAATAATGCACAATTTACACAAATGTATTAGCCATCTTCCTGACATACTAATTCTAGTTCCTTTTGATGTAATTTACAAAGACTAGATTTAGGTAGTGCTTCCTAAGATAAAGATTAAGATAGGCCTTTTTCACCTTAGAAATCACTAACATCTTTTATTTGATTAAAAATCTATTATTATTGTTCATCAGGTGTTTGAATAGTTGTAACACATTTAGCAGATGATCTTCGTTTCTTTATCAAGGCAATTATACTTTAATTTTATGGAAAACATTTGATATCTTTATGAACATCGCATTAAATTCTTAAATAGATCTTATAGATATATACCCATCTTCTTTGCAGATTAACGATTATTATCCAGAAATATATTTATTTACACAAGATAAGCAAACTGAATGACCACAACTAGGTAAGACAAGTGGTGAATGATCAGTCTAATTGAAATCTATCGAACATTAACAACACTAAAATTCCATTAATATTTTATATTTTTTAATGTACTATGATATAAAATTTTCATCTATAACTCTTTTATCTTCTAGCTCTAGCACCCTTACCACCGAACTTTCTTGGCTCACATCTTCTTGGATCAGCTACTAAAAGTGTTCTATCATATTATAATAAAAGATCTTTGATTTCTCTCTTTTAAGTTTCATCAATATATTTTTGATAGTAAGCAACGATACCCTTGCTAATAGCCTAATGATATTTAAGATTGCTGATTCTACCTATCTAATAGCATAAATTTAAGCAGTGCTTCCTCCACCTCTAACAGTGACTCTGATATCTAATCTACCTGTTCTGACTTAACCAAGAAGTAATAATGGTTCAAGAGCCTTTTATCTCAATGGGGCTGGATTGACTAATTCAATTGGAGCTCCATTTACTCTAACCAAACCTTATTTTAATCTTATATAATACCCTTTCCTTCTCTAACACTTGCACTTGCTACAGCATTCTTCTTTCTTCCAAATGTTTGAACCAATTTTGATTTTATTTGAGGAGTTGACATATCCAAGAATTAAATAATTTAATTTAATCAATTTTTCATTTTTTATCAACCTATGCGAATTCCTATTCTCAAATACTTATCTAATATTCTAAATAATAAATACTCTATAAATATTAAATGTTTCTTTATAAAGAGATTATTTTAAATAATAATTTGAATTGATTCTAATAAATCAATATGGTCTTTATTTTCTAAGTTCATCAAGCAAAGCACGACCTTTAGCCTTCTCCAATTCTATTTTTTTATCATATTCTTCTTTTTGTTTTCGAAGTGCTTCTTCTTCTTATTATTTTTTATCTCTTAACAATTACTACCTTTGTTTTTTTTCATCCATTTAATTTATTAAATTATGTTTTGTATACATAATTTTCTAAATCATTAATTATAAAACATACTTCCTACTCTATTCTTTATTTCTCTTCTACATCTTTTTAATATAATTCCATTTATCTTTAAAGTTCAATCTTATCTTATTATTTTACATTCTTTTCATCTTCTATTATTTTTTTTTTGATTTCAACATTCTCTGCTCTTTATGCATAAACTTCATACATTAATTTTACTCTTGCATCCTTAAAATAATAAAAAATATATTACATCTTCCGCTTTCCATTTTGCTTCTTTAGTTTCCCATTATCTAGCATTTTCTTCATTAATTAATCTTTCCTTTAATTAATCATTCATACTATATTCATTTGTTCTATTCTTAAAATTTAATAAGAATTTTCTTGTTTCTTCTTTTTGTCTTTATTTTTCTGCTTGTTCCATTTTACTAATAGCTTCTTCTCTTGCAAGAACTTACTAAATCATTTCTTTATCCTCAATTTTCTCTTAATATTTAATTTATTTTTTAAATTCTTTTTGTTATTCATTATTTAATGCTATTTCTTAATTAATTTCTTTCTTATAATTCATATATTGATTTTCTCTTTATTTATGTCTTTCTTCTTCTCTTTTCCATTCTTCTTTCTATAATGGTCAAACAAATAATTATACTAGCATCTGTTTCTCCCATTCAATTTCTTCTTTTGTCTTTTATTATTTTGTCTCATTCATTTTTGTTTATAAAGCCAATACTTTATTTCGTTCATCTACTTTAACCTTTTATTCTAACTCCTTTTCTCTTTCTAATCTCTCTTTTTTTAATATTTCTCTTCTATATAATTCTGCATATATCATTTCCTCTATAATTTATTATCATTTAACTTTTTACCATCATATTAATCTTCTAACATTTTTTATTTCTCCATCATTTACATATTTCTGTAAGCAACAGTTTAAAGTTCATTAAATTATTAATTGACCATTCTAAGTTCATCAGCATTATCTCTAAATCTACGATTATATGCTGCTTCTGCTTATTTAGCTCTTTCAACCTCCTTTCTTTATTTTAATTCTGCAACTTCTTTCATCATTCTCTCCTTTACCTATTCTGGAGTTTCAACCATTGCTTTTATTTCTTATTGATATTGCTCATGTTCAGCATTTAATAATAATGCTAGTCTTTCTCTTCTTTAATTCTTATTAGCTTCAGCTTCTGAACGTATTTATTGAAGTCTAAAATATACTATTTTCTTACCTATTCTTTGTATATTACAAATTGGCAACATCTTTTCCTTTATTTTCCCAAGCTGCAAAAGTCTTCTCATAATGCTCTTATCTAAGCTTTGTATTCAATTTACCCACCTACTATTCTTATTATCTTCTTTAGTAGATTAATTGTTCTGAACGGTTACGAGTAGAACTTTATATCATATTTAAATTAATAATATTCATTACGATAAGAATTCTTCTCTCTGTTTAAGTAACTCATCCAATAATGGTCTAACATATTTAGTCTTAATTCTAGTCTCACATGTATAAAATTCATCCAATCTAACTTTAAACTTCTATTCATAATCAAATGCTTGAAATAACATTTCTAATTTATCTAATTCCCTCACAACTTCAGCTTCTATGCTCTCTCCATTCTCATATTCTTTATGAATATTATACAATTCTTATTTTATCTCTTCATCCAAATCTTAGATCATCATTCTCATTGCATCATCCTCTTTCTATTTCTTAACTTGTACTGGCATATTCTCACTAGGAATTATGTCTCCTACAATCACTTCTGCCAAATCATGTAATAAAGCAATCTTTATACACTTATCTTTATTTAATTCATTTGTGGGTAAAGATAAAGCTATCACTTAAATCATCCAGCTATGATCAGCTACAGATTCAACTTATTTTATTAATGGGAATCTTGTCCATCCTTTTCTCTTGACAAACTTTAATTACTAAGAAATTTTAAAGAATTTCACATATTTTTACATTTTTTAAAATATCAAAATAAGAATATTATCAATTTTGATTAATGTATAAAGATTTTAATCAGAAATAAATAGTATAAAATATTATCTATAAATAGATATCAAAAGTATTTCTTTTCTTTTACTTCTTATAATTCTATTTCATTATCAAACTTATTTTTAGAAAAAATAATAACTTCCTTGATAAACTAAAATATGATTAAATGGTTGATAAGAAATTATAGATCATATATAATCGAAGCTAAATATGAGATGTTCAAAAAAAATATAAATAAAAATATAATTATTGAGTAAATTAATAGTTTAAATACAAAAACAATTTAGATGAATTTAAGAATTTTAAAGTAGAAAAATTAAAGAAAATTCTGTAAAAGAGTAGATCATATTAATCTTTTTACTAAACTATTAGAAAATAGATTTAATTAAGAAATTTTTAGCAGAAATCTAATTAACTACTCCAATATATAATTTAAAGTTTTTAAGATTGAAATAAAAAATTAGTTAAATGTAATAGTTATGATAAGATTTTTAGAAAACATCAAAATCAGTAACCTATAGTTGCTAATGTTACTAACAATGTAGCACATGTATCTGCCTTATTTTCATCCAAATCAAGATTATCCAAAATAGCCTGTTTTATATCCTACCTCCCTAAATCTTTTTAATGAGAACATAGCTTAGCTAATTTATATAATTATTCAAAATGTGATCCTAATTTTGTTATGAGTTTATCTTTTAATATCTTTGAACCACTCTGATTAACTTAACGAGGTTCAGGTTATGATTTAGAAGTGTTTACATTTAATATTTATTATGAATTACCTTTCATCCAAGTATTAATTTAGGTCTTAGGAGGTAAGGTATCAGCATTTTCTCTAAAATCTTCACTTGAATCTTCTGAATAAATTCTTGAGTTCTCTGAATCATTTTACTCTTACTATAAAGGCTCTTCAATTTTTTTAGGTTATTCTGACTAAAAAATTATAAAATAAATTTTACAAGCACATTTTTTAATTCATTTATCATCTCTTTCATATCCTCTTCACTATTTCTTTTTTATATATTTTAAGCTTTTTTTTAAAATGGATCCTTATATATTATTTTATAAATTTTTTTTTTATTTTTTTCTTCATCGGTTTTTGAATTAGTTGGTTTAGTTTATTTTGTGGGTTTTTTTTAAGTAACATCAAAAACCTAAAATTAGAATTAAGGTTAGAAATCAAATGCTGCAGTTTCAACTGTTTATTAATTGTTTTAAATTTATTAACATTCTTCTGAATTTTAAAAATCACTTAAAGTAGTTTTATCTAAAAATTTTTATTCTGGAGTTTCTGAAATTTTTTCTAATTATTATTATTATTATTATTAACATTAATAGGAATCTTATTTTTATTGAGTAGTTATAATTTCTTCAGAAACTTTTCTTTCTCTCTATCTTTTAATAAATTATTCTAACAATTTAGGTTAAGCATGAACTCTATATACTGGTTTTTTAGCTTCATCTTCTGATTTTAATCCTTATTTAATTTTTTAAATCTAATCTAATTTAGATAATCCTTTAAAATTTTTAATATGGGGTTTATCTAAAATATTTTAAAAAAACTTAGGACTTTCTTATTCACTATTTTTTGTTGCTTCTTCTAAAATTTAATCTGAACCTTAAAATGAATCAGGACTTTCTTTAGTTATAAATCTTGACTTTTTTTATTTTTATCCAATTGCTAAATCAGGTGTAGATGGCTAAATACGTTAACTAGGCAATTAATGTAATTATTATCGACTTGTTTATTACCTTGAAATAGGAGGTCTTTCAGGTTTCGGAAGTTTAATTTCTGGTAATTTTTTAAGATCACTATTTCTTCTTTATTTCTATTAGCCGATAGGTGGACTCTTGATACCTGGTAATTATTGTTGTATTTAATTTTTATTTTTTGGAGTTTATTCTCCTTAATCTATTTTAGGATCTTAATCATCAATTAATGGAATAGTAGTATCAATTAATTGAATCTATTAATTGTGTAAAATAGTATGATCAAATTCATTTCTCTTCATAGTTTCAGATAGAAAATTCTTTATTCTATTTGTAATAATAGGCATTTTTAATATAGAATGTACATCAGGTCTTTTTTCAGGATTGACAGTGAGAAGTTAATTCACAAGGCTATCTTTGATTAATTATGAAGTAGATATACGTTCTTAATTGTGGTGAATAGTTATTGGAAATAGCTTAATATTGTCCACGTACAATTTTTAATGCTAATGATGCTAATGAGTCTGCATTAAAAGGAGGAGTCTTAGCACACATCTAAGATTTATAATGTTATATACTTCATATAATATAACTCCTAAAGACCATACATCTCCTTTAAAACTATATGGTTTATTTTCTAATAATTCTGGAGCCAAGTAATATGGTGTACCAACCATTGTATGAGCTTTATCACGTGTGTTATCCAATAATCTGGCAATTCCAAAATCTCCCAATCTTATTCTCATGTCCTTTGTAAGGAACATGTTTTAAGTTTTAACATCTCTGTGAATGATTTTACGATCATGACAATGTTTAATTGCTAAACACATTTAAGTAAACCAATCTAATATTCTTGATTCAGGAATATAGCCTTCATTATTTTTTATAGCTTAAGCTAGATCACCTCCTATTTTGAATCATTTAATTTTTATTTTTACCTTCTGCATAATCCATTACTATACATAGTTTCCCTTTCACAGTTTTATATACTTCTCTAAAATTTATTATGTTTGGATGCTTTAATTAAGCCATTATTCTGAACTCTTAATATGTTTCCTATATATTCTTTAAATTCTCAAATACTTTTTTCTCTTCCTCACTTAAATATCTCATATCCATTTGCTTTATTACACACAACGAATTGTCTTTCAAAGATTCACATAGATATGCTTTTCCAAAAGATCCTTAACCCAATAAACGAATTCTCTTATATACATCTGATTCTTTAGGCCTCATCATTTTATAAAATTAACTTAATATATATATATATTTATATTTTCCATAAGTTACACTATAATATTATGCATCGAATATAATTTTCATATACAAAACATTTACTATTTTTAGTAATTCAATTTTAATCATAAACATAAACAAACTGGATTGTAATTAAAAATATTGTCTTTTGATTTCTCACACATTAATCTTTTAATTTTGCTTTACAAGAGTATAAAATTTAATGAACATGACTAGCTTTTCAAAAAGGTGATTCATGATTTGTAAAATTCATAATTTTGTTAAAGTTCTTTTTTTATTTGTGATAAATCATTTTAATTAGACAAAGCACAAGTTTTTTTATTTGAATAAAATGTAAACTAATTAAATGAATTAGATATATTTAGAAAAATCATTTCAATAATTTTGTCTGGTGATGATTATTTCAACATAAATTAATTATTTCTTAAAAAATTGATTCAATGTACATTAGAATTATAGTAACTACTATAATAAGAAAATGATAGTTGAATGAATAAATTAAAAAAATACTATTAAAGGAGATAAGAAATTTTAGGTATTTTTACTACTACAAATTTCCTTTTAAGAAATGATAATTTAAAACCTATATCAATCTCTTAGTAAATTTAAATGCTAGAATAAATTCAAAATCTCAAAAAATAGATTGATGATAACATCTAGAATAAGAATGAATTACAATCCTCTATTATTACAGCTGCACAACTAGAAATTAAGAAATGCGTAAAATCAACAAACTAATTCTTAGAATCATTAGAATAATATTTAAATAAAATATTAGTTCTCAAAATATTGATGAAAAAATTAGACGCAATAAATAATTTAGGACACCTAATATTCTATAATACAATTAAAAGATATTTAATCCACAGAAAGTTTCCTTATTTAAGAAGAATATTAATAGTGAGAAAAATGATAAAATATTAAATAAAAATTTATTTTTTATTGAATATTAAAATTATTTCACACACCTCCTTTATTTTAGATGGCTCCATGCAATTCACAAAGATAATCAGCATATGATTTTTCAAGTTATTATTCATCTTCTACTAATTTAGATTGTACTAAGGCAGCTTATGGAGAACTATAGATATTTTATATTTTCTTACTTCTATCGAATTACTCTAACTGGAACATATGTTCCACCTCTGAATTATTATAAAGACTCAATTATATTTTATACTTTGCCGCTATAATCAGTGTTTAATTTGGTAAATAATTCTATTGAGTTTAATTCTGCAAAAGAGTTAACTCCAAAAAGCTAAAAAGTAAATAATTATGTTACATTGTTTAATAGTGAGGGATTAACATTCTATCCTACATATATATATATAAATTAGCTTGTATCGAGGATATAAATTCCATCTGATTTAATTTTATCTATTGTTGTAGCAATATTATGAGGTAATACAGTCTTTTCTTCTTCAGTGATACTGCCTACTTAATATTTATCAGACACAAGTTAAGAATTAATATCATGAATAGGGAATAATTTTGGATAAAAGAAATTATTAAGAAAATGCATAGATTGAGTCAAAACTAAATGAATTTCGAAAATTCTATTATCTATTCTAACATTTCCTTATTTAAGTATATCACGTTTTGATAATGTTTATATGTAGAGTGGTAAGATTTTGATAGCTTCTGGTAAAATCAACTATCCTGATGGACTATTACTGGAACACTAGATAAAATATAGATGATACATATTTTCGATAAGCATGTAAAATATTTACAATAGATTCAAATAGACTTTATCTAATTAATTTAATTTATTAAACCATAATGTTTGGTAGATTTTTTCTACTTAGCAAAGTAGCAATACAATCCACATCTCCTGTTTTAAAAATATTATGCCATGCATTATTTCCACTGTTTTTATTAACAACTTATAATTGTAAATTAAAAACTCTTATAACTCTTTATCCTTATTAATTAGTATACAATAAAGCATATTAAATATGTGCTTCAGGATCTAGTATTTTTTCTTCTTACTTAAGCATAATTGCAATTGATTGATCTGAATTTAAAGAAGATAATTCTAAATCTCTGACTGATATTTTTCCACTTCCTGTATAATAATCAAATAATATAATTCCTGGAGAGGTTCTTACAGTCATAATAAGATCATAAGCATAAGCTCTAGTGAGATTTCTATATAATGAATAATGAAGTTCAGTTCCATTAATTTATTAATTATAATGAGGATAAAAATAAATACTTCCTCCAGTAATATTAGAAACAGGGGAAACAGTAGCTAATTCAAAATTTTCATCATTAGCAATAAATAAATCAACTGATATGTGATTTTTGAGACATGTTTGTCCTAATTTCACATATGCTTGATCTGAAGGCTAATAAAAAAGCTTTTCTTAATCTGTACCAAATAATTTAGTATCAGTTGGTTTTTATGTTATTTTTCCTATTCCATATCTAGGAGCAGAACATCCAAAATACAAAATACGTCCACTTCTTGGTTACATTAATTGAACTGCATTTGATAATACTGTTCCAACTGAAACAAGTTAATTAGCTTATTGAGTAATAGTTTCCCCAAATTTAGCTAATTTTTCTAACATATAATCAATTTTATCCCTATCATTTTCAATATTCAAAAATAGTTTTTCTGGTGGAAGTGGTACATTTACTTCATCTATTTCACTTACTACAATTATTTAAGGTTCTCCTGTTAAATTTTGAGGTAAATTATAAAATTAAATTTTAGAATCAAAAGTAATAAATGCAATATCAGTTTTATTTGGATATGGAATTGTATCCAATATTGATTAAAGTGAAGAAATCACTTAACTATATATACCTTTTGCTACTGATATTTAAGTCAACTCTATACAAAATAATATCAAAGTATTTTTGATTTCTTTTTTTATATAACTAGTTGGAGCTATTATTTCATAACAACCTTTATTTAATTCATCTCTCTAATATTTATCGCCTCTTTAATTTCCTTAACCCAAAACACAATAATAATCAGGTGGTACTGTATTCTTCATTTTACAAATATTGCAAATATAAATATTGCCTCCTTAACCAAATTAAAAGTAAGGACTGACATAAGCCTTACATCTCTAACAACGCAAAGGTTCATTTGTAAATTCTACTTATGGTATTTCTGATTCAAAAACAGATGGTTCCATTAAAGGTTGTACAACAATTCCAAATGGAATCTCTGTTTATTATAAAATAGATGGTTCATTTCCTATTGCATAAACTGAACTTCTCATATATCTTGGTCCACAATTTCCTTCATCAAATGTCTAATAAAATTAATGTACTGATGGAGGATGATATAATGGTGCTGGACCTGTGGAGAACCTCTTATAAATATTTATCGTTACTATTAGTACATTAGAGATTCTTCTGACTTTATATATGGTCTTGGAATTTGATCAACATCTATTTTTGGTGGTTTTCGCTATTCCTATTGTTGTGTAATATTTTATTATGGGTGATACTATTATTATTAAGGTTATTGTTATTGTTATTGACCTAAATATTATTATTATTAATGTTTTTCATGTTATGGTTATTAGTATGGATTTGCTTATCTTTGTTACACAGGAGCTTATTACACAGGCTATTCAGGTTCTCGATTGATTGGCTATTACTACTGAGTTCTTCTTAAATGAGGTGGCAATCGACGTTCTTCCATTATTAAACACGTAATTATTAATTAAATTTAATTATTTTATTAGTTATTTATAAGCTCATTCTTTGAATTCTTCTGATTTCTACTTAGAAACTTTAGCAGAGTTAATAGCTAAATTATTTAAAAAAATGTACATAATGCCTTTTATCCTTATTTGTCAATATCTTTGTGTTATTTTGGATCATATGGCCATCTATCTATAAGTTCTAAGGGATTTTCAAGATAACTTCCTTCTCCAAAGTTCACTTTTAATCCATAGATTTTACCCTAGAAATTTATTATTTATTATACCCAAAATGCAGGATGGCCAATATCATTAATAATATGAAGATTGAATTCATTAGGAATTATATGTTGAACTAACAAAACTTTTTCTTGAGGTCCTTCAGGTTATAAAATATATGCTCTAGCATGACCTTTCTCATATCCAAAGTAAACAAATGTCCATTAATGTTTTTTTAAATCAAATGTATGAGAAACTGGTTCGAAAGAAGGATCTTTTATAGTATATGTACTTGCTAATAATTAATCAGTCTTTGTAAAAACAGCTAGAGTACGATCTCCTATGAATTTTTCATCTGAAGCAATATCAGGACCATTAGTAGTCAATCTAATTAAACCTCTATAATCATTTTCCATTTCAGGTAATAAAACAGCATTTTGATACCAAAATCCAAAACTATATGATTCAACTTAAGCTTTATCAGTGAATTGATAATTGAGTTTATCTTTTTTTGTATCCATGTCTTCCCAATTTGTTGTATCCATCATAGATACAGGCCATTTAAAATCTTCAGCTTATTAAGGAGATACTGGTAATTTACGATGTAATTTGTGTATCATTTCAACAACTTTTTGAGAATCATTAATAAAGCTACCAGAACCTAAGAAAATTCTTGGATCGAAATACCAGCCATGAAATGCTTTATAACCAAATTCACTTACTCCTAAAACAAAATGTGCATATCCAGTAAGTACTTAATGAGTAACATCTAAGGTCAGATGAACTGCTTTTTGTTGTTCTTTAAACAATATCATTCCATAAAATTATTTATTTTTATAAGCTGTATAAACATAAGTCCATTGTCCTTCAATGCTTTCATATGGTAATTAACCATCAACAGCATTAGTTGGTTTAGAGGAATCATATGTACTGAATTCATAATTACCTTTTGTAAGGAATGCTGCCAATATTCTATTTCCTAATTCACTCTTATCTTAATATTATTTTGTATTTGAGAATCTAAAAATAGTATGAACATCTGCTCTTTCAGTCAAAGTATTAGGAAATGCAATAAGCCATCTTGTCCAAACACCAATAGCATATTCATCAACTGATTCTGTTTCTTATGTAAAGGTAACCTCTACTTTTTCAGGACTTTATATTACTCTTTCTTATTTTTCATACCATAAATATTTTTAATTAATTTAAATATGTCTATAATTAGGTAAATTATCTTCATATCCTTTCTTTAAAACATCTATAAAAGCTCCTTATCCATATTAAGCAACCCACTTTTAAAGTTCCCCTTAGAACTTTCTTGAATGAGGATCCTTTCCAACATAAATACCAATAAAATGAGGAACAAAATGTTAAACTCCCTTAAAAATGACTGGTTTATCTTCTGCAAACAGATGTAACAATGTATGAACTTCACCAATATCTTCATTATAAGCCATATAGATATAAGACCAAGCCCTTTTAGAGACTGTTAATTCAACTTTTTCCTCTAAAAATTTTGCTTCATTCCAATCCTTTAGTCCCTTAATTGTATAAGTGCTCAATTTAATTGTGTCACTTGTACATATCTAAGCATATAAGGCTCTATCTCCTTATACTTTACGATCATTTAAATTTTCTTTATCATTATTTGTAATTCTAAATAGAATTTAACAAGGTGAGTTAATCTCTCCATCTTTTTTGATCTAAGTTTCTGAAATCTTAAACCATCCAGATATAGCATATTCACCTACTCCACTCCAAGTATCTCCAGTACTTTCAGTACCTTCATTATTATCCCCTTCTCCAATCAATTATTATTAACCATGTTTTTATTTGTGAATATAATCTACTGTTAATTCTTAAGGTAATGCAAAACTAGTTTCTATTGATTTTAATAATTCTTCTCCATTATTTATAAATGATCCAACTCCAAAATGAGCAGCTACTTCTGTCAATAATCCTTAGAATGGAAATACATCTTTTTCTCCTCCAAAAATCAGATGAACATAATCACCAAGAGGTTTATGCAATAATTTATCATTTGTAGCGTGTTTAATATCTTGTCCATCAAAAACAAAATAATTTGCTTATTACAATTATCTTTTATAACCAACATAAATGTAATGCCATTTACCTTCCAAATAAGAATAAGGTATTGTACTAATTTCATTTGGAGCATCGTCATTTAAATCATATGTTCCAAACAAATAGTTTTCTGATACTATAAAAGAACTTAAAATTCTGTCTCCTACAGCAATTTTTCCACTTTCTCTTTCATCATTATAAGTGAGTCTGAAAATTTGCATTTCGATAGGTTTATGCCATTATCTTTAAGGCCAAGCTTATAAATATCTTGCCCATAATCCAACTGAATATTCTTGAACACTTTCTATTTTTCTCTCTGGTTCTGCAAATGTAATTTTTGATCCCCACTTTTCAGGATCACTTGATACTAGTGTTATTGTATCATCTGCTTCCCAATCAAATTTACTATCTGAACTAAACAATTTTGGTGCTGCCAAATAAACTTAAAGTGTATTAAAATTATCTTCTCTATAGCTACCATCTCCAATATTTAAAATAACTTAAGCTAATCTACTATCAAATGGTTTTATCAAAGCATCTTTTGTCAAAAATAACCAATAATTTGATGAAACTGCATGTAATGCTGCCTCTAATCCTTTGTGTTCATCATCATCAGCTAATAAATAATAACTAATTTTTTAATGATGTTTTGAATATCCAAAATACACAAATGTCCATACTTCCAATTATTATGATGGAATTTTTGCCTCATATGAATTTGATAAAGAAAATGGATTTAAACTATAACTGCTAAATTCTATACCATCTGTATGAAATAGAGCCAAAGTTCTATCTCCTATCTTTTGTGCATCTCCAAGGCTATCAGGATTTGTTGAAGTGAATCTATATATTAATTGCTATGTTTTAACTGATTATTTGAACCATCTAAACCACAATTAAACACTGTATTCTCTAGCCTCTTCATTTACATGAGTAATATGTTGTTCTTCTTCTATTTTAGTCACATCATGTTTGCCAATCAAAACATCAAACTTTTTTGTAATTTATAAAGTATCTGGAATTGTATCCTTATTCTTAATTCTCTATAATAAACCCTATTTTGTGTCAATATAAGATCCTGGTCCCAAATTGAAACGAATTGTTGTTATTTATCCATTGAATGATGCGTAATACTTTCCTGCATTACCTACTATCAATTACAAATAATCATTTAATAATGAATGCATAACATCCATTTAAATTCCTGAAGTTGTTTCTTTATAATGAGTGAACCCCATTGCATGTCCTTGAGTTTATGAGATTCTCTTAAAACTGAAATAAACATAAGTCCATTCACTCTCTGATTCAATTTAATAAGGAATGTCTCCAGCAACATTATTTGATTTAGTAATTACATCATATGTTCCAAAATGATAAGAAGATTTTCCTAGCAATACTAAAAGCACTCTATCTCCTGGAGCATCAAAATCTTTATAATCTTTATTTGTAGTCAATCTACTTAATCCCATAAGTGGTGGTCTACTATAGATTGTATTTTTATTTGCAAAGTATTAAAATTTGACCCAATATCCATACCCATATTCACTAACTCCATGTAGATGCAATTTATCACTTTATTAAAATTCAATTTATAAAGGAACTTCTTTATTTTGAGATGAACATTCTAATATAGTTTCTTCATGATGAGCTTCTTATCCGGCTTATTACAATTTAATATGGTCAGTTCCACTAATGAATCCAAAATGGACTTTAACATTTTCATTTTCATCAAAACCTCCTTCTCTAAAGGCACCATCTCCAACATTTATAACCCAAGTTTTAATCTAACCTATAAATTATGTAAATTATTATTTCTCTTAAATAAGGACAGAAAAGACTGCTAAATAAAAATGATTAACCTCTTCTTGTCTAAATTCACTTTCTGTAAAAGTATATTTTAAAAATCCATATGTTTTTCTTAATTATTAGGAGAATCCATAATAAATATATGTCCATTGATCAGAATATTCTCCATATGATTCATCATGAGAAACTAATTTATATTCCTCTTTATTTTGATTATAAGTAATAAAATTAAAAGCCTAATCTCCTCTGGTAATTTGTAAAGTTTCCTCGTTTTTACCATCTAAATCATTTAATCTTTTTTAAGCCATAGTAATAAGATGAGCTACTTTACCAGTAACAAGTGGTCCATTCCATTTAACCCAACCTGACAAAGCATATTCTTCTGCGCCTTAATACTTTTCGAATTCAAATTAAATAGGTTCTTCTTTAAGTTATCGAGGTGCTCCAACTAATTGTAAAGTTTACCTTGAAACTGGATGAATAAAAGCTTTTTCTGGAAGAGTATTCTAAGTAAAAAGCTTTAAAGTATCAGTTGTAGGAATAAAAGAACCAGGTCCAAATGAAAATGTAATTCTGGCCATTTCTCCATTAAATAATGGAGCAGCAGTCTTACCTACAATAAATTCAACATATTCAAGTAAGAAATCATGATAAATATCGAAATTAACTTCTTCTACCTCGGCATCAACTCCAAATTATACATATCCTTTAGCTAATCCTTTATTAGCATGTCTCTTATATCCAAAATAAATATAGTGCCATCTTCCTTCCAATTATGTAAATGGGAGTTCTTCTTTTAATTTTAAGGTTTGAAATTCATATGAATCAGTACCTAAAGCAACTGACAAGGTTGTATCTTTTGGTGTACTAGCCCTATTAGAATTAGATCTAACTAATTTTCCATCAATAGATTCTATAACATATCCTTAAGTTCCTATTCTAGCAATGTTATGAATTGGAGCTCTTTTATTCAAATATTTAGGTAAAGTACTTAACCATCTTGTCCACATACCAAAACCATATTCACTTTATCCATTGATTCTCATACCTTCATCATTATGTATGATGATTTTATCAACAACATTTTCAACTGAATCATATTCAACATATCTTGCAGTATTTGCATCTCCAGCTACATATGTGACTGGTTTACCAACTTAATAAACAGCCATCACTCCATCCCCATAATTAAATGTCATACCAAAATCTAATCCTTCTCTATATGCACCTGTTCCCAAATAAATACCAACATATCCTATCATTCCATTAAATGGAGATATTACATCATCCCCACCAAGTGTTACCATTAAAGTATTTACTAATTTATGTTAGATTCCTTAAAATTATATCTCACCAACTTATCCTGGTTTTATTAATGCTCCATAAGCTCTTCCACCATCGTTGTCATAACCAAAATATACATAACTCCATAAAAATTCTGAACTTTCGACAGTCTTTGATAGATAAGCTTATCCTTTTCCCTTATTTCCTTTGATTGTATAAGTATTAAAATACAGTGTACTTTTTGCTCCTCCTCCAAAAGTGTGATGTAATTCTAATGCTCTATCTCCCAAAACTCCCTTTCCTTGACCCTTATTTTTATTTGATCTTAAATTCACTATTTAAAATGTATTTGGTTCATCTACTTTAAGATTATCAATCCATCTAAACCATAATCCTATAGCATATTCTTCTATTATCAATTATGATTCTTATGGATCAAAATGAAATGATTCTCCTTTCTCATTTCCATCAAAACGTTTAGCTTTCATCAATATATTTTCATCGATAACTGCAGGAACATTCTAAGGAGGATTACTCAATGTCTTCAGCACCTCTCCTATTGCATCATCTCCATCTACAAATGCAGGAGCATCAATATCATAGAATATATTTGCAAATTAACCATTTAATCCATAATAATTCAAATGTTTACCTCCAAATATTATCTTTATGTAAGAGGGAGGTATATGAGTAGCATCTATCTCAACTCTATAAATTCCATTCCCTTCTCCATAACAAACTACATAACCAACAGCTTTTCTTTAAGGACTGCTATACGAGAACATCACAAAGTACCACATTCCATCCATATTCTCATTTAATACTACGCTCTTGTCTTTAGTTTTAAGTTTTTCAATTGTATCATATGTACTAAATACAAATGAATTATCAAATAAAAAAACAGTTAATGCTCTGTCTCCATAAAATGAAAAATCTTCATATTCTTCATTTATAGTCATTCTTGAAAGGAAATAATACTCTCCCTCTTTTCTAGCATGCTCTTTATTGCTATGCTCACTATATCTCATCCAATAACCATATCCATATTCAGATGAATCTTATAATAATGCTCTATCAGTAAATTCAAACTACTCTGTAGTATCTCCATCAAATTCAGAATTCTAATATTTTGTATTCACAGCCACTATTTTCCTTTCTTAAACCCTACCTACATTTGCTTTATGTTTTGGAGGTTAAAATGAAGTTGGTTCATTTGTATTAACATCTTCTTTCAATGATTAAATTTTCAAAGATCTCTCCTCTTCAATTTATTGTTATCTTAATTATTTAAGATCTTATTCCTCCTCTTTTTTTCCAACATCTTATGGTTTATTATTCTCAGCTTTCATTTCACTTCTTTAAACTCTTGTAGACTCTATTTAATGCTCATCTTTATCATTTTACTAATCTACTTTCACTTAAGTGTTTTCTTATGAATCTGTCTCATTTTAACTTTCTTCTTAATTAATATTCTATTCAGTGTTTTCCTTTGAATCTACATTCTCATTAGAATGAGTTTCATCTACTTTACTAACTTTTACTGCTTAAATAACATTTTCAGATTCTTAAGGTTACTATTCTTGACTTTCATCAATATTCTGATTTTCTTCATCAGAATTCTTAACTTCGCCTTCACTCTCATGTCCCAATGCAATGTATCTTTAGTTTCCTTTTACTTCCTAATTCACATCAGTCTATAAAGATTTGAAATTCTTATTTTATCCTTCCTACTTTTTTTAATGAATATAATATTATGGTTCTTCGTATATTTCATCATCTAAAGGACTTTCTTCATCCTCCTCTTCAAAATAATAATATATTGTTTCTCCTGGTATTTCATCATAATAAATAATCTCTTCACCTTAATCCAACTCATTTTCATAAATGATCCTTCCTTTTCTAAAATCTTGTTAACATATCTTCTTTAATCCTTTTAATTAAGAAATTTTTTATCTCAAACTTTAAGTCCTTCTAACGTATTAGCATTAATTCAAATATTCGTATATTTACTCTTATGTCTTTCTCAAATGTGCAATTATTTAATTTGCTAATGCTATTTTCTCCTCATTTGCTACTATATATTTCAATAATACTTTATGTAGAATTCAATTAGCCAACATATTCGAGGGCATCTTCAACCCTGCAAGAAGCCCATTTGTTTTAAACAAAAATATTCTAAAGAGACTTAACTAATTTTTCTTAGATCTGAACCAACAGAGTTGAATGAATAACAGGTATTGTACCTTTTGCTTTTTCAACAATATTTATTATCTAATTTATTATTGCCAAATCCTTAATCAATTGTTCCCTATTATCGATAATATCAATCCATCTCTCTAATTCTGATATTAGGAAATCGAAATCATTATAACAATTTAACCGAGAAACATCTAGATTATGTGTTTCTGTGTATGTCATCCCTACCTATTACTACAAATATACCTCGACTTCGGAATTCTGATGCTTCTAACTTAGAAGAAATGACTACAACCATCAACAACATCAAAGTTATAAAGGTTTTCTTCATATATGATAAAAATTAATATATATATTTAAACCGTTTTTTATATCAGGTATTAAAATTCTTTCAACTCAAAACTTCAAAGTTAACCTATCCGTTATCACTCTCCTTGACTTTTTTCGAACTAAATTTAATAACTTAATTACATAATTTTATTTAATGTCTTATCAATCAATAACTTTGATTCCAACTTCCACGAGTTACTTATTATGATAATTTTAAGATCATAAATCTATAATATGAATCAATTTAATTTCTAAATCTATTTGAATCATTTAAATGACATATTTTCTCGATTCTCATTTACTTTAATCTTTAATTATATTAATCTCTAATTTAGAATATAAACTAGCAATATTTATTTTTAGCTTAACTAAATTAAAAATGAATATCCATACTTATTTATTAAAACCCCTTACCATATAAAGTTTTAATTGTTACTATTTCTTATATATTTTAATTAAAATAATAAATTCTACTTACAATTTTAGAGAGATTAAAATTATTATAAATTACTATTCAATAATTTTCCAAATTCTTAAATAATTATGAGCTTTATCGATATAAGTATTCTAGAAACATTTATTGATTAGGTAAAGAGCTAAAGTAATTTCGTAAATTTCAGAATTAAAGCCTTTATCAAGTTGATAATTTCATATTTTTATTGAGGTTTCGCATTTAAGCATTCAACTATTATCAATTCTTTAGATTTTCACAAGCAAAACCTCAATTATTATTTATTATTATTTTACTTTCTTAACACCTTTTAGTGATTTATAATTATATACAAAAGTTTATTAGATTATGATTTATAAAGTCAATAATAAGCAAATTTTAAATCTAATAATATTTATATTTCGAAAATTCATGTCATACAAAAACACGTAGCAGGATAAATATTAAAAATTTACCAATCAACTTAATGATTGTGAAGCCATTTCAGAAATAAAGGTGAAATTAGATCATGTACCAGAAACTCCAGCTTAGCTTGATGATTAAGGAGCTGAACTTATTGAATCTTAATCATAAATAAAATTTTTTTTAGAAGAGCTTGACAATAAATAATAGGATGATACTTAGTTGGAAAACAAAGATGATGAAGTTGAAGAATATGAACCAATTCTAAATACTCAAATAAACATCGATTAAAAAAATATTAATTAATAATAACAATAATAAAATTAAAAGCAAATAGAGACATTATTGTAAGCCCAAGAAAAACTATCAAAGAAATAAAATATAGAGCCTCTACCATCTGATAATAAATTAAATCAAGATATAATTTAAGATGATATTGATATTTCATAAAGCAAATTGTGCAAAAGTTTATTAAAAAATATCAATGATTAAGCATATAATGAAGATGCTGAGTTATTAATTTCCTTATATAACGAATTAAATGAACTTAAACAAAAAAATAAAGAAATGCAAATTCAAAATGAATTTTATTAATAAGAGTTGAAAAGAGTAAAAGATCAATTTTAACAAGATATGAGTAAATAGAAATAAATTTATGAAAATGAAATCATTCATTTAAAAGCCTAATTAAATTTAGCAAAAAAAGTAAACAAGTAAGAAAATTAAAATCTGACAATGATATCTTTTTAAGAAAGATAAATGATCTTAAGGGATATGTTGAATAAAATTACAGAAAAATAAAATTAAAATTAAGAAAGAAATATAAATAAAGAAAAAAATTCAAATTCAAGTGATTAGTATTAAAATTAAACAAAGTAAGTTTCAACTTAAATTACAAAAAATTAATCATAAACATAAAAAGACTCTTAGATTGGTAATATAGAATAACAAAAAATATTAGAAAATAATAAAGTTTTATAAAAGGATTAGTTATAATAAGTAGACAAGAAAAAAAAAAATGTAAAAGAATAAGAATCGCCTTAAAAATAAACAAGTAATTTGGAAAAAAAAGCTAATCCACCTCCTCCTCCTCCTAATAAAAAATAAACAAAATAAGTCAGAAAAATCGAGCCTGATGCCTAACAAGATCAACTATAATTAGAAGATTCATAAATTAAAACTGAAACCTTAAATTAATAAAATAGGGAATTATCATCTTAAAAATAAACTTCAGATAATAGTGAAGATTTTTTCAATAATTTATCTAATAAAACATAATTAAAGGGATAAGATCAATAAAATCAAATGAAACAAGTCAAAGAAGTTAATAAAGAAAAAACTTTGAAATAAACTGTAACTGAAGTCAAATTTGAGGAAAAAAATTCTGAGATTCCATAACTTAGTGTAAATAATAATAATTTATTAACTAATGAAGAGAACTCTTAAATAGCTCAATAAGATCCTTTTTCCAAAAATTAAAACTAAATACACAATTAAAATTAAATACACAATTAAAATTCTAACTAGTCACAAAAACAGATTCCTAAATAAAGGAGAATAAATCAAAGTGGCAATGGCTTATAAAATGTTCCTAGTTCCTTATTTGATTGAATGCATAGTATTATTTAATTATAAATTAATATGATGAATGAATATATAATTTGCAGATATTGTAAATCACAAATATTACATTCCAATCAAATAATGCATGAGCTTTATTGTGTTAACAACATTAAAAAATGTAGTATTTGTGAATAAAGTTTCGATAATAATGATGAAGAAGATCATTAAAATTATCATTTATAACATACATGTTCTAAGTGTGAAATTTTTTAAAGTAAAAATTATCTTAATAATCTTTTCTTTAGAAGATCTTAATAATCATTAATGTTTTAAATGTCAATACTGTTCAAAATATTTTTAAAAAGGGGAAGTTTAAAATCATTAAGAATTATGTAAGCTAAAAGAAACAAGATGCTCTTTTTGTGAAAAAATGATTTAAAATAAATAATTAGAGTTGCATTTACCTTATTGTAAAGAGCAAAAAGAAAAAAGCTAATAGAGTAAATATTATTGATATACATGAGGCTAAAAAAATTCTAAAAATAATTAGAAAATATTTGAAAATGAGGAAAGATTATGTCCATATTGTGATTTAGATTTGATGTATGATTATGAGGATGAGGATGAACATTTAAAGATTTGTGGGAGTAGAACAGAAATATGTTCTTTTTGTAACTAAAGGATTTTAATAATGAATAAACAAATGCACGAATTAAATTGTTTTCAAAGCTAATTTAATTATGTTTAAACTAAAATAGAAGAATTAAATCTTCAATAAGTAGTTATTTAACAGATATAACCTACAGATGAATAATTAAAAGAGTATCTAGATTAAAATGATTCAGATGATTGAAATAATAAAGAATTTGATAATAAAAATTTATTTAAAATTTTTCATTTTTTTGATTTTTGAGAATATGATCCCATCTTTTTAAATTATTATGATATTTTATCTTTTTGCTAGGCAGCTAATGATTAAGTTGGGTTTTTAATCGATGTTTATGAAGCATTTTAACTTTGATTTACCTAAATAATAATAGTGAATAATATATACAGATGATACTTCTAGTTATCGATTACTCTTTTGAGTACTGTAGCTTGTATTTTAACCACTTTTTTTTTTATCATCACTTTGCTAGGAAAATTTTTATTGAGCAGCGCTAATAAATTATTAAATTTTATACTATTTAGGTTACTGTGGCTAAGGGCTTGCAACAGTTTTAATAGTAGAGCTACGGGTATTAGACCCTCTAGCTAATTATTAAGATGGAGGAGGGGAAGTTATGATTATTGAAGTAGAAGGAGCTTAAGCAGCTCTAACTACTTAACCAGATTTAATTTAATTTGATTATTATTAAGATTAGTTTTTTTAAGGAGTAGCAGTAAATGAGTTTCTAAAATTTAGCTACTTAGGTAAAATCTAAGATTGAGATTTAACTAATGTCCTTGATCCTTTTTCATCTGGACTCAATTCTATAGGCTCTGCTTATTAACCTTATTCTGGTATTTGCTCCATGGCTTAAATTTTATTTTCAGTAAGCATCTAATTGTATTTTATGATATCATCTTCATTAAATTCTATGATAGTTTTAAGCCTATGTTCATTTAAAGTTGTAAATGCAGATTAAATTCCAAACTTTTTAATTGATCGAATTGCTTATGAAAATCTCTTATACTTTTAACTAAAATATATATGTTTTATTACTTTATAATGCTAAACTCATCAAATGCCGTCTTGACTTTCACTTAAATCATTTTTTACAATAGTCTTTTAATAATTTTTATGCCTATTATCGAGTTAGAACTCATATTATAGTCTTAATCTGAGAAAGGACTAGAAGAGCTTTTATTATTTTTCTCTGATCCTACTCTATTTCTCAAGATATCCTATTGAGAATATTTTTTTGTATGATCCTTTCTTTCTAATTGTTTCAAAAACATTTTATCAGTTTCTGATATATCTGAAATGTTAGTTCTGTTAATTATTGCTTAATCATCCATAAATTATTCATTATTTTATTATAAACCTTTATTAGTTCCTGAAGTTTTATTTTGTTATTCACTAACATTCATTAAAGATTTAGATTTTGTTAATTATGTTTATTCTATAGCCTAAATTAGAGATAGCTATGAACAACTAGATTTACTTTTTTTAAGATTTGGTTCTTAATACTTAGGGATTCTTAATTAAACATTAGTATTTTCATTTTCTAGTATGACTTTAACATAATTTCCATCCCTATTTTTAGTAAATTCATTTTTTTTATAAAATGCTAAAGATCTATTCGATACTTTAATCCTTCTAACTAAAATCTAATCTTAACCTAATTATTCTTTTAAATCTTCCCCAAAAACTAATTCTTCATCTTTAAATTATTTTCTTGTAACAATAATTTTTTATTTGTTTCCCTTTCCTTCCTTTATTACTTCTTCAATCATATAAAAAGATTCAGTTTTACTTAAAATTCGTGACCAAATATTACAACTTGATTCATACCAACCTTTTTTCATTAAATCTTAAGGAGAATTTGATTCTACTGATTGTCTACTCAATATTACAATATCTTCTTCTTACTCATATAAATCCTCTCCAATTTCTAAATCTAAATCTGATTACATTTGTTTTCTTTATAAGCGACGTTCAATTTTTTTAGTTAAAGTATTCTATATTAAAATTTCTTCCTCTAAAAATTTTTATTATGATAATTTTCTTTTATCGTTTGAATTGAGGAGAAGTTTATCAATTCTGGATCCGTCAAAATCTGATACTCTTATTCCTTAACTATTTAATTCTTCATTAGATCTATATTATGAATCTCTTTACTCTTAACTGTCTTCATCGATTTAATACATTGATTTTTTTATGTTTATGTTTGCATGCTGTTTAAAATATTCCTTAGGAGCATCAGTAATTTTTCTCCAACTTTATAAACTATCAATCTAAAATTAATTTATAACTTTTCTTTATTTTATTACAAAACCATTAGGTTGCTTTTCATTTAAATTTTTACCAATTTAAACTTCTGTTATATTAACTTATTTTTAGATAGCAAATAGTTCTGTCTACCCTGATTTTTGATTAGCTACCTCAACAATTTCTTCTACAAATTAATATGGATTATAATCCAAATCAAGATTTGTAACAATCCTTCTGCTAATAATTTGATTACCATCAGAATCCTACTCCTTTAATCTTTTACCGATTTATTTATTAACATTGTATGGAAATTTTAATAAAATTATTTCCATCTCATTTGTTTTAAGATTAGATATTTAATGTTCCTCTTCAAAATATTAAGAATCTTAATTAATTAATTATTGGGATAATGTTGCATTGGCTGAAGGCTAAAATCCTACTTTTTTAAGAATTCCTTTATTATCTTTAACCCAGCCTTCTTATTTAAGCGCAATTAAAGTTTGATTATTTTAAATTACTTTTCTTGATAACACAAAACCTCCATCAGTTCTTTCAATTTTTCCTTCTCCATAAATAAAAGGCCTTCTTTCAATAACTAGTTTTTATTATCCATCTTTATCTGTTAATAATACTTCTTCTTCTACATATTACTCTGGTTCCTATTGGGACAGCTACATAATTAAAGTTCCATTTTTTTATTTCACCCATCCTTTGTTAGAATTGTTTTCAACTATTTTTCTTGATAATATTGTATTTCCAAAAGGATCTACTTCCTAAATTTAATCTCCCATCACAAGGTTATCTTAGATTTGTCTCCTTAAAAGTTTTCTTTCTAATTGGCCTGTTTCTTTGTTGAAGCTTAAAATCTCTTCTTCAATATATTTTGTTGGTTCTGAAGAGATTATAACTTTTTCCATTAAACCTTCCTTATTAGTTATCCATCCTTCTTTCTTTTTAGCTTCTGAAGAGATATTGTTTTGTACAAGTTTCCTTGAAATTACTTTATAGCCTTAACACTATTCTTCTATTTCATCACCAAATTAAGTTTTTTAATCTTCGTTATAAGGCTTTCTAATTAACTTTCGCTCTTATTTTCCTGTATTTTAGTTGATGATTAAAATTTCTTCTTCAATAAATTGTCCTGGTTCTGAGAAACTTACTAATCTAGTAAGTTTTCCTTATTCAACTTTCCATCCTTCTTTTTATTAAGATTAGACTGGAGATATATTATCTACAATTTTTCTTGATACAATTTATTTACCCTCGTTATCAAATTCGGATAAATTGTCTCCTAATTTTAGATTTTATGAATTGGGAGAAAATGGTCTTCTTATTATTTTCCTTTCAAGTTATGAAGTTTATTTATTCATAGTTAAAATTTCTTCTTCTATATATTTCATGGGTTCAGCTAAACAAATTATTTACTCTAAAATTCCATCTTAATTTTACTACCAACCTTATTAGTTTAACAAATTAGAAGAAAATTAGTTTTATATAATTCTTCTAGAAATAATTTTCTCTCCATTTAATCCTTATTCATTTATACCTTCTCCATAATTAATATTTTCATCAATTTTATAAACTGGTTTTNGATTCTTCTTGCCACTACTTTTTGATTATTACCAATTGATTCGTTCAATTAATCTCCAACCTCTTCTTCATTTTCATAAGGACGTCTAATTAATTTGCGTTCTTGCTTGCCTGTTTTTGGGTTTACTATAATTATCTCTTCTTCTATAAATTGCTCAGGTTCTTCTTATGAAATAATTTTTTCAAGAATGCCATTTTGCCCTTTTTGCCAATCTTTTTAGACTTAATTAATGGATTAAGAATTATCGACTATTTTTCTAGATAAAATTCTGTTTCCATCCTTATCTAATTCATTTAAGTTATTTCCAATTTATGAATTTTCCTTAGTCAATGGTCTCCTTACTAATTTTCTTTGTAATCCATTTTCTCCATAAGAAAGAACTTCCTCTTCAACATATTTGGTTGGCTCACTTGAAGCTAATTAAATTTCCATCTGTCCTTATTTTTGTTACCAATCTTTCATTTAATCCAAAGGCTATTCATTAGAGATTATTCTTCTAGCAACCACTTTTCTAGTTCCGTCACCTTCTTGAAGATTCTCTCCAATCTCTCCTATTTCTGATTTAGTTAAAGGTCTTCTCGTTAATTTTCTTTCTTATCGCTAAGTTTTTGGATTTATGATAATAATCTCTTCCTCAATATAAGCTTCAGGTTCTTATTGTGAAACTACTTTCTCTAAGGATCCATTATTTAATTAAGTCCAGGTTTAATCGATTGGCTTATTATTTTATACAATCTTTCTCGAGACAACTTTATTTCCATTTTAGTCTTTTTCTATCACAGATCCAGTTTGTAATTTGTTATCCTAAGGTAAATATGGTCTTCTCACTAGCTTCCTTTAAACAATTCCATCCTCACCTTAAACTAATATTTCTTCCTCAACATATTTTGCAGGTTCAGGTTGGAATCTGATTTCCATGTTTCCTTCAGTATTTTTTACCCAACCTTGCTATTTTAATGCTTAATTTGATTGATCATTTTAAACAATTTTTCTTGAAATTATTTATCTACCATTCCCTAAATCTTCTTCTAAATTTTATCCCATTTATAAATTATCTATTTCTTCATTATTCAGAGGTTTTCTGACAATTTTTCTCTCAAGTTTTCCTGTTTTTGGATTAACTTGGATAATCTCTTCCTCAATAAATTGTTCAGGTTCTTCTGAATTTAGAAGGATTTCTTCTTATTTTCCTACATTCTACCATTATTGTTTTATAATATTTGGTTAAAGATTGGATTCTATTTTACGTGAAAGCACTTTAGTTCCATTTTTGTCTACTTCATTTAATTAATCGCCTTCTTAGATCTTTCCTCCCAAATAAGGCTTTCTAATTAGTTTTCTTTCCATCATCCCTGTCTAATTATTATACTATAACACTTCTTCAGTAATATACTACGAAGGTTCAACTCCTAAGCTTAATTCATAATTTCCATCGCTAGTTTTTTTCCATTTCGATGAACCAAGTGATAAATCATTATCAACAATCTTTCTAGAAACCACATAACAGCTCTCACCTATATCTTCTAATAGTTATTCTCCTTCTTCTACATTTTCATCATCATCTAGAGGTCTTCTTATAATTTTTCTCTCTTGCTTACCACCTTATTTAACAATAATAATTTCTTCCTCAATGTATTTTGTTGGTTCTTGGATTGATAAGGTTTTTTCAAAATTACCCTGATTATTTTTCCAGCCTTCTTTCTCAACTTGCTGAGTTGATGATATATTTTCTATGATTCTTCTTGCAAGAATTCTATTTCCATTTTAATCGATTTCTTGTAAATTATTTCCTATGTTCGAACCAGGCTAGTATTATTTTCTTATTAATTTTCTCTCCATCTTACCTGTTTCATCGTTAAGTACTAAAACCTCTTCTTCAATAAATTTAGTAGGTTCATTCTGTACAATTAATTTTTCTAATTATCCAGTTTTTTAATTTTACTTCCATTCACTTAGAGAACTATCGTTTTAAACGATTCTTCTTGCCACTACTTTTTGATTATTACCAATTGATTCGTTCAATTAATCTCCAACCTCTTCTTCATTTTCATAAGGACGTCTAATTAATTTGCGTTCTTGCTTGCCTGTTTTTGGGTTTACTATAATTATCTCTTCTTCTATAAATTGCTCAGGTTCTTCTTATGAAATAATTTTTTCAAGAATGCCATTTTGCCCTTTTTGCCAATCTTTTTAGACTTAATTAATGGATTAAGAATTATCGACTATTTTTCTAGATAAAATTCTGTTTCCATCCTTATCTAATTCATTTAAGTTATTTCCAATTTATGAATTTTCCTTAGTCAATGGTCTCCTTACTAATTTTCTTTGTAATCCATTTTCTCCATAAGAAAGAACTTCCTCTTCAACATATTTGGTTGGCTCACTTGAAGCTAATTAAATTTCCATCTGTCCTTATTTTTGTTACCAATCTTTCATTTAATCCAAAGGCTATTCATTAGAGATTATTCTTCTAGCAACCACTTTTCTAGTTCCGTCACCTTCTTGAAGATTCTCTCCAATCTCTCCTATTTCTGATTTAGTTAAAGGTCTTCTCGTTAATTTTCTTTCTTATCGCTAAGTTTTTGGATTTATGATAATAATCTCTTCCTCAATATAAGCTTCAGGTTCTTATTGTGAAACTACTTTCTCTAAGGATCCATTATTTAATTAAGTCCAGGTTTAATCGATTGGCTTATTATTTTATACAATCTTTCTCGAGACAACTTTATTTCCATTTTAGTCTTTTTCTATCACAGATCCAGTTTGTAATTTGTTATCCTAAGGTAAATATGGTCTTCTCACTAGCTTCCTTTAAACAATTCCATCCTCACCTTAAACTAATATTTCTTCCTCAACATATTTTGCAGGTTCAGGTTGGAATCTGATTTCCATGTTTCCTTCAGTATTTTTTACCCAACCTTGCTATTTTAATGCTTAATTTGATTGATCATTTTAAACAATTTTTCTTGAAATTATTTATCTACCATTCCCTAAATCTTCTTCTAAATTTTATCCCATTTATAAATTATCTATTTCTTCATTATTCAGAGGTTTTCTGACAATTTTTCTCTCAAGTTTTCCTGTTTTTGGATTAACTTGGATAATCTCTTCCTCAATAAATTGTTCAGGTTCTTCTGAATTTAGAAGGATTTCTTCTTATTTTCCTACATTCTACCATTATTGTTTTATAATATTTGGTTAAAGATTGGATTCTATTTTACGTGAAAGCACTTTAGTTCCATTTTTGTCTACTTCATTTAATTAATCGCCTTCTTAGATCTTTCCTCCCAAATAAGGCTTTCTAATTAGTTTTCTTTCCATCATCCCTGTCTAATTATTATACTATAACACTTCTTCAGTAATATACTACGAAGGTTCAACTCCTAAGCTTAATTCATAATTTCCATCGCTAGTTTTTTTCCATTTCGATGAACCAAGTGATAAATCATTATCAACAATCTTTCTAGAAACCACATAACAGCTCTCACCTATATCTTCTAATAGTTATTCTCCTTCTTCTACATTTTCATCATCATCTAGAGGTCTTCTTATAATTTTTCTCTCTTGCTTACCACCTTATTTAACAATAATAATTTCTTCCTCAATGTATTTTGTTGGTTCTTGGATTGATAAGGTTTTTTCAAAATTACCCTGATTATTTTTCCAGCCTTCTTTCTCAACTTGCTGAGTTGATGATATATTTTCTATGATTCTTCTTGCAAGAATTCTATTTCCATTTTAATCGATTTCTTGTAAATTATTTCCTATGTTCGAACCAGGCTAGTATTATTTTCTTATTAATTTTCTCTCCATCTTACCTGTTTCATCGTTAAGTACTAAAACCTCTTCTTCAATAAATTTAGTAGGTTCATTCTGTACAATTAATTTTTCTAATTATCCAGTTTTTTAATTTTACTTCCATTCACTTAGAGAACTATCGTTTTAAACGATTCTTCTTGCCACTACTTTTTGATTATTACCAATTGATTCGTTCAATTAATCTCCAACCTCTTCTTCATTTTCATAAGGACGTCTAATTAATTTGCGTTCTTGCTTGCCTGTTTTTGGGTTTACTATAATTATCTCTTCTTCTATAAATTGCTCAGGTTCTTCTTATGAAATAATTTTTTCAAGAATGCCATTTTGCCCTTTTTGCCAATCTTTTTAGACTTAATTAATGGATTAAGAATTATCGACTATTTTTCTAGATAAAATTCTGTTTCCATCCTTATCTAATTCATTTAAGTTATTTCCAATTTATGAATTTTCCTTAGTCAATGGTCTCCTTACTAATTTTCTTTGTAATCCATTTTCTCCATAAGAAAGAACTTCCTCTTCAACATATTTGGTTGGCTCACTTGAAGCTAATTAAATTTCCATCTGTCCTTATTTTTGTTACCAATCTTTCATTTAATCCAAAGGCTATTCATTAGAGATTATTCTTCTAGCAACCACTTTTCTAGTTCCGTCACCTTCTTGAAGATTCTCTCCAATCTCTCCTATTTCTGATTTAGTTAAAGGTCTTCTCGTTAATTTTCTTTCTTATCGCTAAGTTTTTGGATTTATGATAATAATCTCTTCCTCAATATAAGCTTCAGGTTCTTATTGTGAAACTACTTTCTCTAAGGATCCATTATTTAATTAAGTCCAGGTTTAATCGATTGGCTTATTATTTTATACAATCTTTCTCGAGACAACTTTATTTCCATTTTAGTCTTTTTCTATCACAGATCCAGTTTGTAATTTGTTATCCTAAGGTAAATATGGTCTTCTCACTAGCTTCCTTTAAACAATTCCATCCTCACCTTAAACTAATATTTCTTCCTCAACATATTTTGCAGGTTCAGGTTGGAATCTGATTTCCATGTTTCCTTCAGTATTTTTTACCCAACCTTGCTATTTTAATGCTTAATTTGATTGATCATTTTAAACAATTTTTCTTGAAATTATTTATCTACCATTCCCTAAATCTTCTTCTAAATTTTATCCCATTTATAAATTATCTATTTCTTCATTATTCAGAGGTTTTCTGACAATTTTTCTCTCAAGTTTTCCTGTTTTTGGATTAACTTGGATAATCTCTTCCTCAATAAATTGTTCAGGTTCTTCTGAATTTAGAAGGATTTCTTCTTATTTTCCTACATTCTACCATTATTGTTTTATAATATTTGGTTAAAGATTGGATTCTATTTTACGTGAAAGCACTTTAGTTCCATTTTTGTCTACTTCATTTAATTAATCGCCTTCTTAGATCTTTCCTCCCAAATAAGGCTTTCTAATTAGTTTTCTTTCCATCATCCCTGTCTAATTATTATACTATAACACTTCTTCAGTAATATACTACGAAGGTTCAACTCCTAAGCTTAATTCATAATTTCCATCGCTAGTTTTTTTCCATTTCGATGAACCAAGTGATAAATCATTATCAACAATCTTTCTAGAAACCACATAACAGCTCTCACCTATATCTTCTAATAGTTATTCTCCTTCTTCTACATTTTCATCATCATCTAGAGGTCTTCTTATAATTTTTCTCTCTTGCTTACCACCTTATTTAACAATAATAATTTCTTCCTCAATGTATTTTGTTGGTTCTTGGATTGATAAGGTTTTTTCAAAATTACCCTGATTATTTTTCCAGCCTTCTTTCTCAACTTGCTGAGTTGATGATATATTTTCTATGATTCTTCTTGCAAGAATTCTATTTCCATTTTAATCGATTTCTTGTAAATTATTTCCTATGTTCGAACCAGGCTAGTATTATTTTCTTATTAATTTTCTCTCCATCTTACCTGTTTCATCGTTAAGTACTAAAACCTCTTCTTCAATAAATTTAGTAGGTTCATTCTGTACAATTAATTTTTCTAATTATCCAGTTTTTTAATTTTACTTCCATTCACTTAGAGAACTATCGTTTTAAACGATTCTTCTTGCCACTACTTTTTGATTATTACCAATTGATTCGTTCAATTAATCTCCAACCTCTTCTTCATTTTCATAAGGACGTCTAATTAATTTGCGTTCTTGCTTGCCTGTTTTTGGGTTTACTATAATTATCTCTTCTTCTATAAATTGCTCAGGTTCTTCTTATGAAATAATTTTTTCAAGAATGCCATTTTGCCCTTTTTGCCAATCTTTTTAGACTTAATTAATGGATTAAGAATTATCGACTATTTTTCTAGATAAAATTCTGTTTCCATCCTTATCTAATTCATTTAAGTTATTTCCAATTTATGAATTTTCCTTAGTCAATGGTCTCCTTACTAATTTTCTTATCATTTTTCCATTGATATCTTTTATAAGTATTTCTTCTTCTACAAATTCTGTTGGTTCAGCTTGCGAAATGTAAAGTTCGTAATTGCCTTCATAATTTTTCAACCAATCTTAACCTAATTAATTTTTTTCATCATTTTCAATAATTCTTCTTGCAACAATTTTCATTCCCTATTCACCATCTTCATCCAATTCTTCACTTATTTCTTGCAATTAATTATCAAATAAAGGTCTCCTTACCAATTTTCTGTCTTGCTTTTTTGTTACTGGATTATAAATTAAGATTTCCTCTTCTAAAAATTAATCTGGTTCTTATTCCGATAGTTTTTTTTATAAAAGTCCTTCTGAAGTGGCTTACCATCCATCTTATAACATAATTTATTTAGATTGAGAATTGTGAATTATTCTTCTAGATAAAACTTTTATTCCGTTTTATTATTTACCTTATTGCTCAGAATTATCTTTATAGGGTTTTCTTATTAAAAGTCTTTCAATCTTACCTGTCTCCTAATTTAATCTTAATAATTCTTCTTCCACATATTTAATATTACTCTCTACTTGTTGTTGTTTTTGTTTATTTAAATTAGATTCTTCTTATTTTTATATTTAATCTGGTGAAAATTTTTTGACCAAAACTTTTTAATTATTTTCTAACTACTGTATACATATTTATTCTTTTCCAATATTTCTCTCTAGTCTATGCATGTTATCTAAGTTCCACCCATCTGCTTACATTTAAGTCAAAGATTCATTATTTTCAACTAATCTTCTATTCTCAACAATTTCACCATTTTCTTATTCTTCATTGATACCTTCTCCTATAATAAGCATTTCTGGTGTTTTTCTAACTTATTTTCTGATGATACAATTTCCATCATGTATTTTGATATCCTCTTCTAAATACTATATAGGCTCATTTCTTGAAATAAATTTTTTATATTTATTGTTGTTTGTAAATTCCCAGCTTTGATCAATAATTCCATTTATGACACGGCTTGCAATTAAGATTTAGTCTTTGGCTCTAACTGCATATAAGTTTTCATCATTAATATACGTAGAGGAGTTAGAAAAAATTATTTCTCTTATTAAAACCCTATCTTATTTCTGTTTATTCCTAATTAATATTTCTTCTTCAAAAAATTTTGTTGTTTCATCGAATCTTTAAATTGTTGGAGAAGACTTTATTGGGGAAGCATTTGATCGGTTTGCAAAATACTTTTTTTGTTCTTATATTTTACTTTAAGCATAATTGATTTCTTTATCTTAAGTTCCAGTTTCTCCAACTGATAAATCATCTGCAATACTTTATCTTTTCTTAGAAGTTGCATCTTCAAATATATCTTCAGATTAATTAGATTATCTTTTTAGACCTTCTAATTATGATCTTACTGTTTCCATCTACTTATTCAGTTCTTAGTCATAAGATCTTTCCTTATGGATAAATTCTTAAATCTTTTCCTTTTCTGAACTGTTTGCTCTTGGATTTATTTCTTTAATCATTTATCTTATATCTTAAGCTGAGCTGCTTCTGTTTGAATACACTCTTTCTCTGAATTCAAAAGCAATTTAAGGATACTTATACAAAGAATTAATTGTAAGTTGCACATCTTAGATTAAAAGCCTCATCAAATTTGCTTTTTTAACAGGAGATTTTGTTCTGCTTTCAGTGTAGTTTACAAAGGAACGAGCTAAAGGTTGCTACATATTTGGTGTGCGAGAAAGATATGATTTTGGGAGTACTGCTGATTGCTTTAAAGGTGTTATTACTGATTTATTAGATTTTAAAATTATGGGCTAAGGAGAATAATAGATTCTAGATTTTTGTTAGGGTATAACAACTTTACTTGGAGTATGATTTACTTAATGATTAATTATCGAGATTTTTAATTAAGTTTCTTATTTATGAGTTTCAGATATTGAGTATTATTGTTGGTAAACTTAAATTGAAGAGATACTTTTCTTTTGAGCACCTTCAATGAAACTTTCTCGATTGACAACAAAACCTTAAATTGAGTTTAATGTGAATTTTATTATATTTTGAGGTAAAATTGCTGAATGCATAGCTTTTTCTATATTTTCATATCGAATTTATTCATAAAGAGCCTTCATCTCTATTTATTCATTCTAACAAAGATTTGCTTTGTCTATTTTTATAAACTGTTATAATTCAGTAAAACAAAAAATATGTGTATCATTTTATGTAAGATTATGAATTTTTATTCGAATATCTAACTTTTTTATCAATAGTTCATTTAAAACTAGCATATATAGCTCATTTTTATCTAAATGTTAAAGTTTATTTTTTTACTTGTGAGCATAAATGAGTATCTATCGTTAGGTAAAATCTCAGAAATAACAAGATGTTCGTTTGTAAATTATTTGAATTTTTAAAGAGCCCATCTCTGATTGCTGTAAAAACTAGATTTAAAAGAATCAGATAATAAAAATATATTAGAAGATCCTAAATTTAAAGTACAATGTAAAAATACCATCAATAAGTAAAATGTAATCCTTCCCAGCACAAACTTTATTAATTTTTATGGTTAAGGGGTTTACAATATAAGGTATTTCTGAATTACCAATTGGTGTTTGTCCCCAAGTCCACAATTTTCCTGAATAATCAAGACCACATGCAAGATGAGAGGAAAGCGACAGCTGCTTAAAATCTTTTCCAATTCTGCTAGGAATTGGCACAAAATATATCTTTTAAATTCCAAGAGTGCCATAATGATTTTTATCCTCTCCAAATGAATAAACTTACCCAGAATATGAAAGTGCCAAAGTCACATTTTTGTTTGTTGAGATGTACTTAATTTTTTCATTCTTGAAGGGTAGCTAATAAAAGGAAAGCTCATAGCTGATATAATATAGGCACCCTGTTTCAGAGAGTATCTAAAATGAATTTGAAGAAAAGCCTTTACAAATTTATCTCACTTTACCGAACTATCCTAGCACATTGAACGGTTTATAAGTATTCTAATTTTGAAAGAAATCATACTTGCTCATCATCATAGATATATAGTATATCATTCATTTTTTAATTAAATTAAGTTGTAATGGCAAAGTTGGAAAAAGCTGCAAATGATCTTGATTTTTATAAAAATCGAGATGATACTCATCCACAAAATTTAAATTATGAACCTCCCGTCGAAGATTTCTACGGACCAGTGGCAACAGAATTGAGATATTGCACAGACGTAATTTGTATTATTGTTTGGATTATATTTTTGGGGTTTTCGTTTGCTTATGGTTTTTATGGTAAAAAATTTTGCAAAACGATTTATAGCATACTAAGAATTTAAATTAGAAAGGCTCTTTCGGAGTTCCGATTTTAGAACTGACTTATGTGGGATTAAATAATTAGAGAATAAACCTTATGCTTATTTTCTTGATCCTGATAATTTATTCGATATTGCGATTTGCGTAGAGAAATGTCCAAATACTTTAGACTACGTAATATTTAATTTTAAAGTAGACTGAAAAAATTTGTTTATACGATATTGATGGGTAAACAATATTGGAAGATTATTGTTACGATACTTACTATACTGATCCATATTTAGTTTATTGTATGCCCATGGAATTAGGATAAAGAAGAAATGCAATAGAAAAAATAATAAACACTGATATTGAAATATTTAAAAGAATAGCAGGCGATTTTTGGATAGTATAAATTTATAAAAAATTAGAATATTGAATTAATAATTGGAGCATTTGCTGTTTAGATAGTAGTAGGAGTAATCTTTGTTATAATTCTATTGGGAAAAAGTATATTATAGAAAATATCATAGGAATTGCTCATATGATGGTGTGGGCATTTGTAACTGGATTTTGTGTTACAATGGTATTTTTGTCTAAATATTTGGATGAAGAGAAAGGAAACACAATTTAAAGAGACTGTCCAATTGATATATAAGATCCCTATTAATGTGTAGCAGCACACCTATATTTATTAGAAATTACGAAGCAGACTTTGTTATATTTAATTCCTGTTTATGTATTCTTTTTAATATTCTGTTTTCATCAAATTTTAAGAATGATTTAACTAATGGAATCAATGCTTAAACCATTAAAGTAAATGCTTCATGTATTATTAATTCCCTTTTTTATATCATTGTTATAAACTGCCTTAGCAATCCTATTTATTTTAGTATTAATTGGAGGTGTAAATTCTGGAAGAACTGAAACAGTTCCAGCTCCGAATGGATTTTCGAGTACAGATTATAGAAAGGTTTAATTTTAGATATGGTAAGAGAGAGGGTTTTATGTTGTGTTATTCTTTATGCTTTGGACACTTTAAACTTTGTATTATTATGTTCGCTGTTTTATTGCTTGCAGTTGTTCAGTCTGGTATTTCACTAGAGATAAGAATTACTTGAATGCTCCTATGTTAAGACCTCTTTGGTACACTATTAGATACCATTTGGGAAGTTTCTTGATGGGAGCTTTGCTGGTTCCTATTTTATGGATTCCAAGCTCTCTATTTTATTATTGGAAAAATATCTTATTGTCCATGCCAAGAAAAAGCTTTTTATTGCACATATTATTATTTTTTTCAATCCCAGGCTTTTGGTTTTATGAGTATTTAGGAAAATACATAAGTCATAGAAACTTTATGCATATCGCTACATTCGGAGAAAGTTTTTGGATGGCAGGCTAAAAGGTATTTTATTTGAGAGAAAGAAACTCATCCAGAGTTGAAATGATGAGAAAGTCCCTTGGGTTTGTGAGACTTATAGGAATGTTATTTATTTCATCAGTAGGGACATATTTAGTTTATTATTCTTTATACTCAGATTAAATTGTTGATAGATATGTAATAGATGTTAAATAGGCTGTTCATTTTCCCATAGTACCAGCAATATATGTTTTTTTGGTAGGATTATATATTTCACAAAACTTTTCATCTATTATTGATATTATTGCTGAGGTGACGATTTTTGATTTGGTAGCAGAAGAAGAAATGTTTATGGGTTAATAAAGATTTGGTGATTAAGATATGCTTGATATTGTTAATAAATATAGTAAAGAAAAGTAGAAATCGGATTTTGTTGTTACTAATTAAGGAAAGATAAATCCAATGAATGAAGGGGCCAATGCAAACGAACCTTTGAGTAAATTCGATTTGGGAAATTTAATGGAATAAGATGAAGAAGAGCCTGAGGAACCAGAAATTCCAGAACCCCCAATAGAGGAACCAAAAGAATCTGTTAAAAGTGATCATGATGATGAAGATGAATTTGGAAAAGGAAATGCATTAGATTTGGATGAATTAGGAGATATGAATAATAAAAATAATGATGAGCAATTTGATGATGAAGTATTATTTATTTTAAAATATATATAGCTTGCTGAATTTAACAGATAAAGAGTTTAAGATGCTAACAACAAAAAAAAATTAGAAGAAGATGTTATCAATTTAGATAAAAATAAATAATAAGCAGATGGAGCAAAAAAGACAGATAGAAAAAGATTTTGATATATAATTAAATATTTTATATGGGATCTTAAAGTAGTAAATTAGTAACAGAAACATAGAGACACGAACATGCAATCAATTATATGAATTCTGGAGGGTAAATTCAATTTTTAAATATAGCTCTATGAGTGATAAATCTGCAAAGAGTATCAAGGATATTGAACAAACACAATAGGAATTTGTTAATACATAATTTAAATGGAATTTTGGTGGATAAAAGGTATTTGTGGCAGGCACATTTTCCTAATGGAAGACAACTCATCAATTATAGAGAGATAAAGGGGGAGAATTTAGCATAGTAATACCCTTACCAAAAGGAATCCATCATTATAAATTTATTGTAGATGGAGATTGGAGATTCTCTCCAGATGATCCTACTACTGCAGATGAACATGGCAATATTAATAATGTTATAGATACAACCAAAGTTGAAAATAAAGCCAAAGAATTCATGGAATCAAGTTAATAATTCAAACCAGAGAAATCACCTAATGACTCTATTATTTAGAATCAAAAATAAGTAATTTAAGATTTCAATTTCAACGACAAAGCTCCTCCTGTTCCTCCTCATTTACTTAAATATTATTATATAGAAGTAACATATTATATAAATCAATAGGAAAAAGAAAAAAAACTTAACAATATGTGGAATAAAGATATTAGACCATAAGGGTAAATGGAACTTGAAGATGCTAAACCATCTATATCTTAACAAGAAATTTTTGATCATCTTATTTAAATCTTCAGTAATGTTAACTCTTTGTCTCCTCCTCCTCATGTAAATTTAAATCATTTAGCATGTTTAACTACAAACAAAAACAGCCCTTTTAGTGTTTATGCATTAACTCATAGATTCAAGGCCAAGCATACAACAATTAAATTTTACACTCATAAATATTAAGAAAACAAACAATAGCTATTTGTTGTGTGAAAATATCATAAAATATAAAAATATATAATTTTTCTTTATTTTCTTTTTTTTTTCAAAATATATCTCAGCATATATATATTAATTATAAGGTTTTAAACCATTCACCATCTAAATTGTCGATATAACTTATTTTTTGAGCAAATTGAAAAAAGTAATTTGTTTTTTATGACATAGATTACATATATTTTTTATAATAATTAGTTACTATTTAAAGAATCTTACAATTAATTTTAAAATTATAAATTACAAATTTTTAAAGAATTTTACCAACAATTTTCTTTCCTTTTTCAATCATTTGAAATTCGGTTTTGTTATTAAATGTTCAAATAAATTTCTTTTGAATATTTTAACTCGAATTGAAGATTTTGATTATCATAAAAAGATCTCTTAATTATATCGATTTTGATTCCATATTAATTTAAATTAATTATTAGAAATGCTATCGAAACGAGAAATCAAATATTAAAGCTAGTTGATAATTTATTTTTTTAGGGTAATGATATGTCCATAAAATAAAGTGTAATGGTAAAAATGAAAATTTTTTAAAATGAATTTTTAAAAAGCCTTCCTTCTATTAATTTTAATATTTACAATTAGATAGAGAAAAGCTATAATCAGCAATAATTGTAAAATTAAAATACATTTAATAAGCATTCCCATAGTATTCCAGACAAAAGATCATGGAATAATATATATAAATAAATAGATCAATAAATTTGTAATAGGGTAGAAATTTGAGTAATTTAAAAAACAAACTTTTTGTGACATCTAAAACAAAAATCAAATAATTCTATAATACATCGAATTCCTATATTTTAAATTCATAAGAAAAATAAAAAATATATTGTTTTTATCCAAAATTCTTAATTTATGCAAATTAGAAAAAAATACTATTTTATCTCTTTAGAAGTAATTGGATTAAAAAATTTTGAAAAAAAACATTGGTTTGATAATTATCAAATTGACTAAAACTTTATTAACTAATTATATGTTTTTATTTTTGACGATTCTAAGCTAAAAGATAAAGTTAAAGAAAAAAATTTTATCATAGATAAGAATTAATATGAGAACTTTAGAAAAGTACTATCAAAAAGTAAACTTTTATAAAGTAAAAAAAAATATTAAATATGGATAAAACCTAGCTAAATTATTCATTTAGTTATCATAGATAAGAATTAATATGAGAACTTTAGAAAAGTACTATCAAAAAGTAAACTTTTATAAAGTAAAAAAAAATATTAAATATGGATAAAACCTAGCTAAATTATTCATTTAGTTATTTTAATCCTAGCTGTATAAAATTTTATTCAATTGAAGATAAAAATGCATATAATAATGTTTTTGTTATTCTGTATTTCAAATCAATTCAACAGAGTCTAATATGACTTTACTTTCCTTATTTGCAACACTAAGGAAAAGGCTTAAATCACTAACATATGCTTTTGCCATTCTTGAGACATCTTTTTGAATTACAATATAGCCTTTGTATTAAATAAAATTATTTACTCTGAGTTGGAATATTATTTTCAACATATTCCACAGCTTATCTCCCTTTAAGAGTTCTGCTTAAAGCTTGTTTTGCGCAATACCAATTTATATCATGAATTTCTGCTCCCGCTAAATTCATTGCCCAAGTTTATTTGTTTTCTTTAACTTTTTAATATCATTTTACATCTAACTGGATATGCCTTAAAAATTCTTTAATAGTATGGGACAGGCCATTATGATGTTGACATCACTCTATCTACAATTGGTCTTTCATGGATTGGTCCCCATAATGCTCCAGAAAAACGTGCCACAGACTTGCTATGAGTTAGACGAATCATTTTAATTATTTATATAAAATTATTTGTATGTTTTCTATTTTCAAATTTACATTGCATCTGAATATAAATATGCTCTAATCTAAACGACTTGTTTTTAATCTTAAAATTTTAATAGCTTTTAAATATTAATAAGATAGAAAATCAATGATATTCTATTGTATTTTTTTTATAATATATTTATAATATCAACTTAATTTATTTGAATAGAATATCTATATAATTTCTTATTAAGACATATTTACCAAAAGGTTAAATTAAATTTATTCTGTATTGTAATTTAAATTCATTTAATTTATGGGCTCTAAAGTTGACAAAGAATTATATACTAGATAATATTTTAAAAAATTAAAATAAATTAAGTAAATAGTCGATGTTTTATCAATTCTTTAATTCATAATATTATTCGTTTTTATTTTCTTATTTTTCTTATCTTTTAAACCTTTTGTGTTTTTTATAAATTAAAATGAAAATAAGGTGAAAAAAATAAATAAAAAAAATCTTTGTAAGTTAGTGCAATTAAATTTGAATATATTTTTTATTATTGCTCTATTTTATAAAACATATATTTCACTGGTCATAATTTGGCATTGATATTTATAATATTTGTTTGAAGTTTTTAATTTTTTTATTTATTATAACCAAAGAATAGTTGTCTTGATGTTTTAAACTAAGAAGGCTAATATAAAATTTACAAGCGATAAAAAATTCTGTGAATCCCTCTAAAAAAATGTTTTTGTAAACAGGCTTGATCAAGGATGTTCCTCAAAGATTCCTGAGAAAACTTAGAAAGTATCATATATTGTTATAAATAGATTGAAAAAACTTCTAATACGAAGTTTAGTACAAAGCAATCAGAACCAATCTTAAAATAAATTCCATCATTAATAAAATAATGGAAAATAAGCGATAAAAAGCAACTGCCAAATTCAGCAGAAGTAACAAAATGTTATGAAGATAATTCTTCGCTTATACAACAATTAATATAAGAAAATATTTAACTAAAAAAATAAAACTTAGTCAAAGATTCAATCATAAATTAGTTGATAACAAATAATGATACATCAAAAGCTAATGTATTAAGAGCAAGCACGTCTTAAACTGAAAGACAATGTAACAAATTATAAAAGCAACATAACAAGTATCAATATTACAAATAATTAGTTAGAAGAATGCACGCAAAAGTATGGAAGAACTATCGTCTTTAGGATTTACATTTTGTAACACAGAGCAAAAAAATAATAATTAAGAATCTGAATAATTCTCTATAAAATCTTCAAAAAGTCCAACAAAATTACCAAAAGAATTTTAGATATTCCCCAAAAAAAGTCATAAAAAGTTTGTTGTTTGAGTTTTTGATTAGATTGGTTTCAATAATGAGTAGTTAATAAAATAAAATATAATATATAAATTAAAATAATAAGATGGGGTCGTGTTGTGCAAACAGTACATAGGAGAAAGAATCTTTTATTACAAATCCAGCTCCAATATAAATAAGCAATGTAATTTTGGAAGTAAAGGAACCTTCAAATATAAAGGAATCGAATGAAACTCCAAGTTCACCAATAAGATCAGAAAAAATCGATGTATTAGTTGAGATTAAAATATAGCACAGGAAGAGAATGATGGAAGCATTAAGAGTTATAGAGGAAAGTTGATAGAGAACACTAATGTATATATGCATTCTTTTAATAGTATAGATATTTGATGAACAATATTCATTTGCTCTAACAATATATAATTCTTTAGGTATTTATGTTAAGAATTAAAGGTCCATTTCCATTTCCAATAATAAAAGATCAGACTCTTACTTATGCTGGTCCAGTTGAAATTGATGAAGGGTAAGAGTTAAATAGATGTTAGATCAATTTATATGGGATAATGGTAATATGGTAAAAGACATGGATTTGGAAAATAGTTATATCATTTTGGATCAATATATGAAGGAGAATGGTATAATGATTAGTAGCAGGGATATGGTAGAATAGTGCTTCCTAATGGGGATTAGTAAAATAATCATTGTATAAAATAAGTTATGAAGGCTAATGGAAAGATAATAAAGCATGGGGAACAGGAAAGTATGTAACAATAGATGGAACTATTTATAATGGAGATTGGATAGATGATAAATAACATGGAGTATATGTTAATATTTATAATGAGAAAGGAGTTGAGGAATGGAAAAATGGTTAAAGATATGAAGGTAATTATTTAAATGGTTAAAAAACTGGTTATGGAATATTTTATTGGCCAGACGGTTCAAAATATGAAGGAGAATTGCTAGATGGTATGCCACATGGAAATGGTGAATATATTTGGAAAGATGGCAAAAAAGTATTATGATAAAATAATATTAGTATAAAGGAGAATGGATGTTTAATTAAATGCATGGTTACGGAATATATATTTGGCCTGATGGAAAAATATATAAAGGAAATGTAATTCAATTAAATACTATTTTTAGTTTGAAAAAGATTAAAGAGAAGGGTATGGAGAATTGGATTGGTCAGATGGTAGAATCTATAAAGGAAATTGGAAATAGGGTAAATAACATGGAGAAGGAGCATTTATTTATAAAAATAAAATAAGAAAAGGAGTATGGTAAAATGGATAACCAACTAAATGGGGTCAAAGTGAAATATTATCATCATAATGATATACTATTAAAATTTAAATTAATTCTCAATCAATTTACATATTAATTAATTAATAAATTTAATTCATTTTCAATAGAATGGGAAATTGTGGATGTTTGAAGAGAAATGATAAAGAATTTGATGATTTTGAATAAAAACCTATTAAATAAACGCCACTACAAGAAAATTCAGAATTATAGAAACCCACAATATAATCAAGTTCACATTCTGTTCCTTAAAGATTAAAAATTAAAGAAACTGTGAATTTAAGAAAATCTCATACTATTGAAGGTGAAAAAAAATTAAATGATTATATCTTAAAATAAGTATTAGGATAAGGCACATTTGGAAAAGTAAGATTAGCAGAAAAAAACTTATAAAATTATGCTATCAAAATACTTAATAAAAGTAGGCTTAAAAAGCAAAGAGAATATTACACTGATTCAAATGGAGGTTATTTAATTTTTAATCATATTAGTAGTGAAAATTAAGAATGCTTTTTAAAATGTTGCTAAAGAGATAGCTATAATGAAGAAGTTACGTCATCCTAATATTATTCGTTTGTATGAAATTATCGATTCTCCTAACTCAAATAAAATTTATATGGGTATTTTTGTTTTATTATTAAAGTAATGGAATATGCACAAAATGGTTAATTAATTGATTGGAATGAAGATTTAGGATAATTTATTTTGACTAATCAGGATTTTTAAATAACACAAGAAAAATTGAGACTAATTTGTAGAGACATTATAAAAGGAATTTATTAAAGTAAAGATAATATATAATAATATTAGTGCATGAATTAGGAATAGTTCATAGAGATCTTAAACCATAAAATATTTTGTTTGATTAAAATTTTAGAGCAAAAATATGTGACTTTGGTGTTTCTTAAATTATTAATGGAGATACTGAGCATTTTGGTACTAATGGCACTTATTTATTTATGGCTCCTGAATGCTTTGGAAGTGGGTAATTTGATAGAAAAGCAGCTGATATTTGGGCATTTGGAATTACAATATATTCATTTGCTTTCTTAAAAGTACCATTTTATGGAGTTGAAATTTAAGAAATTATGGATTCAATTTAATAAAATGAGTAAATTTCTATTATATTGATAGAATAGAATATCCTGACTGTAGAATTGAATTTTAAAATTTTCTATAAAAATGTTTAAATAAAGATCCAAATCTTAGAGCTTCAATTAAAGAGCTAGCAAGAGATCCTTGGGTAAATGAAGATTAATAGAATCGATTGAAAGATGAAATCGAATAAAAATTCATGAAGATAGAAGTTGATGAGACAGACATCTAAGAGGCATACTCATTAGCTACATTTATTTTAATAAAAAATTGGGTTGCTAAATTAAAGAATTAATGATTATAATTTATAATATAACAAGGATAAATTAGCATTATTAATCAAGGAAATGGTTTATTATAAAATTTATGGCTTTAGTTGATTTTCCAAAAATTGGATCAAATAAAAATAATTACTAATAAAATATTTGATTATTAATTAATAATTTTTTAAATGGAAATTAGACCATAGTTTTTTTAGGGATTTTATAATCCAGATGATCTAGTTTATTCATCATAAGCTAGTGATTCCATGGCTATAACTAAACCAAATGAACAAATAAAATCTCTTTTGCATGATCGTTTTCAAAATTACTTAAAAAATGAAAATAAACCAGAAGAATATACAGATTCATTAAATAACTAAAGCAAATCAAAAACTATTACTTAATCAAAATAAATATAGATTTAGAAATCAATTTAATAATTAAAGTATAAATTACAATAACAAGAAAAAGAATTTTATGGCAAAGAATTATTATTATAAGAATAATTGTTATAAGCATAACTTAAAAATGATAATTTGATGAGATTAGCGAAATAAAAATATGAATTGATTATTGATAGTCTAAAATAACAGTTAAAATAAAAAGATGAAGTTATTTATGATTTGAATCTCAAATTGAGAGTTACTCAAACATCTTAAAAAAAAAATGAAAAATAAATAATTGGAAATCATTCAAAAAAATCATCTATGCTGACAGGAGAGGAATTAGATTCAGAAGGGGCTTGCACATAAAGAACTTTAAATATTCCTTCACGTTCTTCTACTTCTCAGCAATTAAATGATGATAAACTTTTAAATCTCTATCGAGTAGAAATAGACAAATTAAAATCCTAAACTTTCGAATTTGCTTAAAAATTTGAGACTGAAAAAAGAACAATAAAAGATGAAATCTCTTAACTTAAGAATTAAAAATTATTATTACAAACTTTATTGACAACTCAGCAATCTCCATAATCTGAAAGAAAGTTAACTAGATCTGAAACAAAGGTTTCTTGTAAAGTTTAGAAATAGTAAAATTCATCAATAAGAATGCCTTAAAACAAAACAAGCAAATAATTAACATTTGACTGAAGATTAAAGTTGATATTTATAATTACTAATATTTATATTCTTCAAATTCTAATGTAGACATAAAATTATAATTAAATCAATAGAAATTTTATCCTATTTTTCTTGCATCTTTAATAATTATAATAGCTTCAAACTTTTAATTTCATTCTCTGTATTGTCATTTTTGAATGAAAAGGTAGAATCTAAACAGTCAATAATTTAAATTATTCCAAAATTTAGGGATAGATTTTTAGTTTTATTAAGCATTTATTCAATAATTTGTGTTATATAAAAGCAAAATGAACATATGAATCCATAATTTTTTCTTGGTTTAGTTGCCTTCGTTGTACGTTTTTGCAAATTAGAAATTTAAAACAAGTATTACAATTTACAGCAAGATCGGAAGCTTTACTTGCGATTTAGACATCTCCAGAGATTCTACAATAATAAGCAAAAATTTCATTTGATGCACAATATCTATAATACTGTTTAACAACTATGATAAATAAATAATTATTACGATAGACAATAATACGACTCTTTTTATAGAAACTCTGTTCAAAATTCAGAATAAATTAGAATTAAGTGGTAATTAGGCTATCTTTTTGAATTAAAACATTTTAATGAAATATTTATTTATTGTTTTATTAATATCAAACCTAAATGTTTGAGAAATCTACGCTTTAAACAAGAGCTAAAGCTTATTCACTGATTCCCAATTCTCTGGTGAATTCATTTTTAGTGTTGGTATAGATATCGGTTTCTTCAGCATAAGTATTGTTCTCTAATTCTAATTCAGCAGTGTATTATTTTTAATCAGCTGCTCTTTAATCTCTAAATTCAACCATGGAATCAATTTTTTCTATTTATTAATATATATATTTAAATACCATTAGTAGCAGTCAAATCAACAGTTGNATAATCCTAAAGGTATTGGTAATTATGTTGGAGGTTGTTATATAGGATTAAAATCTTGTAATTAAACTTATTTATTATTCAAATCTAAATTATATCTTTAAAAAATAACTTTTAAGTTTTTCTCTTTTGCAATTTTTTCAATTTCACTATTACTATAATGAGTTAAGGCATCACTTTTAGGACATGATTAAGTTAATGATTTTAAAACATGTTTATTTTTTTATTATTTTTTAATGATTAAATTATTATTCTCAATACTTTTTATTCGATTATATTATTCCTAAAAATCCTTATATTCAGCTTCATATTCATTTTTATAAGCATTATTAATTTTAGCATAAACTTATTAAAAATTTGGATCTGTAACTCCAATAGTCCTTGTTGTATAAAAGCAATATGAACATATGAATCCATAATTCTTTTCTGTATCTACTTACCTACGTAATACATTTTTACAAATTGGACATTCAAAACAAGAACTACAACTTATAGTAAGGTTGGAAGCTTCACTTGTAATTTAGACATCTCCACAACTTCTACAATAATAGCAAAAAATTTCATTTGATGTACAATATCTACAAATACTGTTCTAACATCTAAGATAAACAAATAATAATTACGATAGACAACAATACATTTCTTCTTATAGAAACTCTCTTCCACATTCGCATAAAATTAGAATTAATGGTAATTTGGCTATCTTTTTGAATTAAAACATTTTAATGAAATATTTATTTATTGTTTTATTAATATCAAACCTAAATGTTTGAGAAATCTACGCTTTAAACAAGAGCTAAAGCTTATTCACTGATTCCCAATTCTCTGGTGAATTCATTTTTAGTGTTGGTATAGATATCGGTTTCTTCAGCATAAGTATTGTTCTCTAATTCTAATTCAGCAGTGTATTATTTTTAATCAGCTGCTCTTTAATCTCTAAATTCAACCATGGAATCAATTTTTTCTATTTATTAATATATATATTTAAATACCATTAGTAGCAGTCAAATCAACAGTTGCTCTGTCTATTTATCTTCCAAATTCTGCGAATTCAGTATCTAATTATTCAAGATAAGCTTCATGATCAACAACATCTTAAGCTTCTTAGGCTGTTAAATCATTGATTTAATCAACAACAGCATTTCTAAAATCATTAAGAGCATCAACAATTGATTTCAAAACATCTTGATTTGAAAAGTTTTAATTTGATGCTAAAGCAATAAGAGCCTTAATCATTGGAGCCATTCTAGATCTTGATCTAAGTTTGGTTTCAATGTTTTTCAAAGTATTTTAGAATCTCTTAATTTAGAGTAATGATGGATTGGTCAAAGAAGATAAAAGAGCAAGTGCATCATCAACTGAAGCAGTAGCATCATTTAATTCAGCAACTTAAGCTTCAAATGCTTCATGCTCTTATTCTCTAACAAGAACAGCTTCATCATAGTTCTTTCTATTCTCTTCTTAATATCCAATAACGGTATCAATTTTGCTTTAGATTTGATTTCTTCTTGGATAAAGTAAATTGTCAAGAGTGTCCTAAGTGTTGTTGACATCTAATAATTTAAATTTGCTATATACCTATGACAGCATCTTGAATATCTTGTTCAAGACTAACAACTAAAGCATTGTGTTCATTTGTTCTAACTTGGAAATTGAATTCAAGTGTTTCTAATTCTTCTTCTAAGTCATTGATTAGTTCTTCGATAGCATCAATCAATTCTTAAACTGGACCTCCTGCCATCGAATGTAACTCAACCAAATGAAGTAATGCACTTCCATATGTACTCTTTGCTAATTCAGTTTAGATTTTAGCCATGTTTCTTTCTTATACTCTAACTGTAAAGGCTACAGCAATAAGGGCAATCAGTATTATGGATTTCATGAATTAATATTAATTAAATAAAAACGAATTTGCCTAATTATTAATATCACAAATCAATCACTAAATTTTTCTGGCGTTTCTGGAGCTAAACAATCACAATTCCAACTTGTACTTCCTCTTTTCTTAATATTCTCAACTTTTCTACTTACCTCTTCATTAAAAAAGCGTTGCTATCTAGATTCTCTCTATAATTGTCTCTACTGTCTATATTCATGATCTCGCTTCACTCTTATCAATATTATAAACTTACCTTATATTTAAGATTTATTCCTTCTTTTATAGTTCTTGTTTTTGTCCATGGACGACTCATTAGACTAGATTAAATTAAATCTCTTGAGTTTTCTGATTATTTACTTAATAAACTTAATTAATAATTAGATTCATTTGATATTAATGATTAAGTTCTTCTTATTGTTGTTTATGCCTGTTAACTCTAAGGAATTACTTAAGATATCTATTATGAAATTTATTAAGATATTTATTGAGAAAATTACTAAGATATCTATTATGAATCCTTTTAAGACTCTTTCTTAAACTTTTCTTCATCTCTATAAGATTTAAATTCAGTTCTTTTTTCTGATTATATTTTTTTAGTTTATTTCAAATCTTCTAAAAACTAAATACATTTCTACATATTTTTTCCTTTAAAAAATTTATTTACATATGTTATGAATTAATTGTTCTTACTTTGGCAATTTTGTAATAAACTTAGAAAAAAATTATCAGGGTTTATCTGAAAGTCTTTCTATTGAGTTTAAAGTATTAAAAATATTTTAATTAAGTCACCATTATATTTTGATTTATAATCTATTTTTTATGCTTCAAAATATTTTTTACACTCAAATTACACTTAAATACATTATAATCTTAATAATGTTTATAATAAATATAAGTCAATCTATTATGTAATTTATATATACTTAGTTTAAATTTGCAAAAGCCCATTCTTAGAAATAAATAATCTCATTTTTTCTCAAATTACAAACTTAGATCTCTTTAAATTCAATTATATAGTTATCTGATATAATTTTAGGATAAAGCATAAATCCCTCTTAAGTTTTTAGTTTAGTGGCCAAAGCAATTGACAAATTTTTTAGTTCGCAAAATTTCTCTATTATTAATTTTATTCTCCCATTCCTATTTAAAAATAGATTATATACTAATCGATCTTGTTTGCTTTATCTACTAATTGGTCTAGCTGAGTTTGAACGAAGTTTGGAAGTGTCTCAAAGAGATAATTATTATTACTAAAACTCATTATTTAAAAATAATAATCTAGAATTTCACTACAGTTTATACCTTGTAGTATTATATAATTCTGCCACAATTTTATACATAGTTGTAGATCCACCGAATGTTCTGATTTTATTATTATTAAGATTAGTGAAAACACTTTTTTAAACACTTAAAGCAAATATCCTTAAAATCCATTATATCCTGACACCTTTTATATTTGGACAGTCGTTTTAAGCCTAAATAGTTAATCTTTTGATAATAAAACTTAGTATTTTTTATTCTCATATAAAAGATGCATTTAAAAGAGGATCTTTATTTTTGCAAACAGGTTTGATTATATCTACGACACTCTTCCTCCAAAAATCATTAAAAAAGTCTTAAAACTATGAATTGTTTATTAATTTTTGGCTTAATATTTAATTAAATCATTTTATGATATTTGCTCATGTCTAAGCTAATTTTGCAATTTTCGTTTACATTTATAATTTTGTATTATTTTTAATTTTAACTAGAATTGGAGTCAATGACCCCAATAGGTAAATTTTAATTGGCACTTCTAAATAACGCTAAATTTAAGTTTAAGTTAATATCTTAAGAAACTATTGGAATATAGTTTCTATTTATATCAGTTTCATCTGAATCTTTCATTGTTGTATAAATAAATTAAATTTAACAAAATCTGAAAATGTTCAACTAGCTGAAATTTAATATCAAAATCAAAAATTTAAACTCAAAAAAATAAGTATGATTGGTAATATAGCCTCTTTTTTACTTAAGTGACATTAAAATTTTTTATTGTAATCTATAGAACTCATTTATTTATATTATAATAATTTTTTCACTTTTAGGTTTCCTTCTCTTTTGCTTATTTAACAACTTTCTAGTCCAATTTTTCTTTGCTTTCATCTTTATTTTATTCATCCTTTGTAGATACTTCATCAATTAACTTTTAGACTTTCATTATAGGTTTTTTAGTCACTACTGTAATTTGAAATGTTGTATAATCTTGTAATTCTGGACTGTAATAATTTTCAATTTATAATGTAAATTATCCATAGGTAGTAATTTTATTAACCATAGATAACAAATGATTTTTTGTAATCTATGGCAAATATGAGTATATAATACTTGTAATTTGAATCTTTATTGCACTTCATCAATAATCAATCTATCATCTATTGGATCTTTAAGAAGAGCTGGATTGGAAAATTTAGGTGGTCGAACAAATTCTAAATGTATTCCTGCAATTTTTTGTTAAAACAATTTAATATCTTTTCTTCTTTAAATTTTATTTTCTAACTTCTCTTCATCAAGATTGGGTAATAATCTAAATAAAAATAACAACTCTAAATACCTTCTTCTATATCCTGGCAGATTTTAATAAGCCAAAGCCATAGGAAATAGAAATTTTTCAAAAAATCCTGGTTTTACAATGCGTATTTCTCCTTAAAATCCTTAGACACAATCTTTTAAAAAAAATATTTCCATTCTCTATTTAGAGAAGTAGTATTGTAAACCTCTTTTCATTAAATTTAATTATAGTATAATATTTATTAGAAAATAATTTAAAATATGGAAGGTATCATAACTTAATTTAGCATATTGTTCCTTCTTATAGCTTTGTTCACATTTGAAGGTTTATTCAAATTATTGCCATTATATTCAATTCTAGCAGAGGTTTATTCATTGTATTTGGATAGGCAAAAGAAAGTTTCTTAATAAATAGTGATATCCAAAAATTAAAAATTTACATGGCAAGAATTGAAAAAGCATGATAATTAGTCTTCAGCATATGTAGCAATAAAAGGAAAAGTATATGATGTAACTTCATTTTTGAACAATCATCCAGGAGGAAGAGAATTTTTATTGTTAAATTGTGGAAGAGATGCTTCTCTTGCATTTCAATCATATCATCCATTTTCAGAAAAACCTGAGAAATTATTAGAGAAATATTTGATTGGAGATCTTATAACAACAGAGTGGCCAACATTTAAACCTGATTCTGGATTTTATAAGGAATGTACAGAGAGAGTTAAGAATTATTTTTAGTCTAAAGGAATAAATCCTAAGACTCCAATTCCAGGATTAATTAGAGCTATTCCTTTATGGATTTGTTTCTTTTACACATTTTATTTAACATTCATTGATGATTCATTTTGTTTATGTAAGAGAATTATAATAGGAACTATTTTTGGTATTTTATAGGCTTTAAATACATTACATTTAATGCATGATGCATCACATGGAGCAGTTGGAAATAATGAAAAATGGTGGTGGTTTTTTGGTAGATTGACATTAGATTATATTTCAGGATCATCAATGTTAGCATGGTAAAATTAACATGTTATTGGACATCATTAATATACGAATATAATGGGATCAGATCCAGATATTCCATAATTAAAAGAAGGAGATGTTAGAAGACTTGTAAAAGAATAAATCTGGTGTACTATGTATAAATATTAACATTTATATATGCCAGTACTTTATGGTTTATTATCTCTAAGATCTAGATATTATGATGTTTTTGAAATATTCTTAAAAGAAACTGATGGACCTGTTAAAGTCAATCCTATTTCTTTATAAGATAAATTGAGATAAGCTAGTAGTAAATTACTTTGGTTATTTTGGAGATATTATTTACCTGTTTGTGTATTTGGAATGACTTAAGCATAATTTTGGTTCCTTTTTATTTATGTAGAATTTATAACTGGATATTGGTTAGCTATAAACTTTTAAGTTTCTCATGTTTCAGATGAAGCTGAATTCTTTTATAATAATATGGATAAAGTAGCTAAAAATGGTACAAATGAATAATGGCCAATTGAATGGGCAATTCTATAAATTAAGAGTTCAGTTGATTATAGTCATGGTAATTGGCTAATGACATATTTATGTGGAGCTTTAAATTATTAAGTTATTCATCATCTATTTCCTGGAGTAAGTTAATATTTATATCCAGAAATTGCTCCTATTGTTTTAGAAGTTTGTAAAAAATACAATCTTAAGTATAATCTACTTCCTGGATTCAAGGAAGCCTGGAATGGACATTTCAATCACTTAAAAAATATGGGCAAATTAAAAAAATTTGTTGGTTTTGCTAAAATGGAATGATTTAGAATTGAGCAATAACAAATATTATTACATCAATTAAATAACCAATCCTTACTTACATAAAATATTAAATATTTAACACTTAATTTATTATTCATTCTTAATTACATACTTATGTTACAAATTTATATGCTTTCTATGTTTCTCAAATTATTTACAGATAAAGTATATATCTAAAAATAATAACAATATCAACATAAGAAAGATGAATTGAAAATTTATAAATGGTGATAAATTTTTCAGAAAGTAT